TTTTGGCAATCTCAGACCCGCGGGTTGGCATCAGAAATCCCCCCGCCCCATCCTGGATGGCAGCGTGGCTGTGGGAGCCACACGGAGCAGGTCTGCGGCGTGTGGCGAGCGCGCCGCTGTCAAACAGCTCGGGAATACCTCGAGGTTCTCCCAGCCACTGGAAGACTCCGGGAATAAACCTGGGAGGTTGTTCATGAGGCCGCCGGGCAGGCTGCCGGTTGCTCCCGGGCTGTAACCCGCTCCTCCCAGCCCAGAAAGCTAATGAAGTCTATGTGCCAGCTGTTACACTCATTTTGCCAGACCCCAGGAGGACAGCATGAAGACAGTCAGTGATCAAAGGCTCTGGAGATCACTGAGGAGCCGAGCGGCAGGAATGTCTGATTGCTTTCTCTTGGAATGCCACAGGCTTCAATACCTCCTTTTTTTCCTTTTTTTTTTTTTTTTTAAGGTGTCTTGGTGTGAGATTTAATGATCTAACTCGGGCTTGCTCCTGCTAAAGCCAGAGTGTTTTAGTTAATTTTGGGGGAATTCGTTTGCTCTAAATTTAGGTGGTTTGAAAACCTGCGACTTTTCTTGTACTGGTGGCAAGTTAAAAAGGCATTTTTCTTGGTAACTAATAAGTGACCTAGGGGAAAAAAACAACTTGCTGTGCTTTGGGTGTTAAATCACATATAATATGATAAAGTGAGGTGGGATTAATCAATTTTGAGTTACTGCTGTTTAGGAAAAATGGGAAACCTTTGGTATCCAAATCCTTCACTCGCAGATGGCTGTCACGATGCAGCTGGCGGGGCAGTGCCGCCCTTGAGGCAGCAGCACTCAGTCACTTTTTCCTTGGGCTGCTCAGCAAAGGCCCAGTCATCTCCTGGAGGTGGAGTGGGCAACTTGAATAACTCCCTCTGTTCCCGAGGTGCCTGTTTCCTTCCTCCTCCTCCTCCTCCTCTTTCTGCTTTACTCCAGCGTTTATGGGACCTGGTGTGTTGAGGTAGTGCAGAAACCCTTCCTCATTTAGCTCCAGCGTGCTGTAATGGCTCGCTGAAGGTTGGAAGCGTGTTGGAGGGGGCTGATGGAGTGGGAGTGCAGTAACAGATTGAGGTGGAGTGGTGGCTGTTGGGAAGGGAGGTCCCGGTGTTGTCGTGCCAGCTGGTCTGAGATGGCAGGAAGGTGATTCAGGGAGCTCAACCAAAATGGGGATGAGATAATGCTCTTTTTGAAGTGACTCTGCCCTCAGCTGCAAGGGTGGAGAGGAGAAGTTCAGGGCCCAGTAAATCAGCAGGGCAGGATCTCGGCTGTGTTTGGAAGGACACAGGGGCCTCTGGAGCTTAGCACCATGGGAATGCATGGAAAACAGCATTTTGTCATCTTTTAGAGAGTGAAACCCTTTTTTGGGGGCAAGCAGCAGTAGGAGTGAGTTAATTTGGAGGTGAGGGTTAAGTTATAGTGACAGGACCAGACCTGTGGAGCCCTACATTGAAGACCACTGGTTTCTGGAGAAACAGGGACGAATGTGAAGCTTTGGGAAGAGAGGAGAGGGTCACTGCCGGGGCTGCTGAGACCCTGGATGGTCTGGTGCCTGTGTCTTGCCATCTTGGCTGAGTAGAACACTTCAGTAAGCCCATGGGCTGGTCCCTGGTCCGGGATGGCCCGTATCCATCCTGGTGAGGTCCTCAGGCCTCGACAGCCAGGTGATGATGTGCCCTGCAGCATCCTGAGCGTGCCAGGGCTGATGTGCCCTTCTGGCAGTGGGGACAGCCCTGCTCCTGTGCCGGGAAACCGCCGGTGCTCCTAAATGGAAAGTTAAACTGTCCCTTCCCCTCTGTTTGGACTCAGTGCTGATGGTTTATTTTCCTCCCTGTGTCCGGCATTCCGAAGGTCGTGGGGCTGAAACTGGGACCTGCCAGACAGCCTGTCCCCACGACTCTGGGCTGAGGGGTCCCTTTTGTAAAGGGTCTGTGACAAATGAGGTGCACAGCCAGAATTATGTCATCTGCGGAAGTGCTTCATCTTGCTAATTACCTCCAGAAGTACCAGCCCCAGGTTTCTGGGTGCCCCTGCGTGTGCAGTGTGCTTCCCAGGGGCAGGCATCCAAAGGAATGGTCGGGATGGCCCCTCCCCCTGACACAAGTCTGTTATCTTCCTTGTTTCCCGTGATCCATGAGCAACAAGCTACTTTAGAGCTGACAAGGAGGTCAAGTGCTGGTTGAAGATAACTGGAGGATGACTTTAGGTGGAGATATCTGGGTGGAAGTAGGAGAAGTGCGGCCTTTGCCGTGCTGTGCCTTTCTGATGGGCTGGAGGAATGGCCAGTGCAAGTGAAAAGTACATTCTCCTTGATCCACTAAACCCATGTCCATCTCTATTCAACCTTGAATATTATTCATATCCTCTTATTACTGTTTTAGTTTAAAATGCTCAGGCAGTGACACCTCTTGCTTCAGTATAACTTTGACTCCGATCCACAAGTGATGGAGATTCATCCTCCCAAGTCAGGAACAATGAACAGTGGAGAGAGTTGTTCTGGGTTGAGCTCATCTTGGAGTCTGGGACACTTAAATGGAGCCACATCTAACCAAGGTGCTCCTTTTTCTGATCCTAGTGGGACCCCAGTGGCTGGTACTTGCTGTCAAAATGGGAGCTCAGGTTTATTGAAATGATGGCAAAGGGGAAGAGTCATGTTTTTCTATCCCTAAGGATAGAAAATGTAATATGAAAGAGGCAAAGTTTCTCCACAGGATTTCTAAAGACCCCAAAACTACGAGCTGTGGTCTTGCCCTCTTCTCTGTGCTTAGCAAGGGGCTTCTGGAGTGTCACCATCTGCAGAAAAAAAAGAAAGAAGTATTTCTGGGATGGGCTGCATTGCTGGGTCTCATCTCCCCCCAGTGTTCCCATATTTACCAGCGAGGAAGATGTTTCTGCCGTCCCTTCAGAAACAGATGTTGGAGAAACTTCATTCAGATGCCCCAGTGTTGATGCTGAACAATCCTAGCCCAGTTAAAGCCAATATTTTTCCCCCTCCAGTCAAAGAACTTTGGTCTTTGTGGCTCGCTGTGTGTACTCACTGCTTTGCAGTTGATCTTGCCACTCCGCAAGCCTGCGAAAGCCAAACTGGTAGGTCAAAAGAGGAGTAGCTGTTGACACTGGCAGTAAGGAACATGTAAGGAGAAAGATAAACAGAGGGAAATCAGAGCCTGGATAAAGTAGATCTCCAAAGATAAAGTTTAGTTAAAGATAATGAGCTGGCCTTGTTTAAAAAGACAGCTGCAAAATAACCCAGTAGCTCCATGTGCTGGGGTTAAAGTTGACCCAGAATATACGTTTCATTGCTTTTGATAAATAAATAGTGCAGGGAAGATTTGGCAAAAAGCAACATTGCCCCCAGCCCTCTTCAGCAAAGTGTTTGATGTTAACAAGTTCTCTGGGTGTTTACTTTGTCCTCCGCGCGCGCTGGTGGAGCGGCGCTCCTGCCCTTGAACCGAGGGAGAACTCAAATAAACCAACCCCTTCGGCACAGCTGGGCTCCTCTGCCATCTGCGGCTTCCCAAAACAGCCCCGGCTCGCCTTGGGAACCAGCCTGGGCCGCAGGATTGCCGGGTCTTCCCAACAGCTGAAATAAATTTGCTGGATCAGATAAAACTGCCCAGAAACGGGAGCAGAACTCGGCAGCGTTTCTTCCCGCCCTCTCAAGCTGTCAGTGGGACCCAGAGTGCAGTTTGCAGGCAGAGGTGGCAGAGAGCAAATAGCCCCATGAAATCCAGAGTGATGCTATTACAACTGGAGGCTTTTCCTGATGCTCAGTTTGCATATGTATTTTACAGCGATGCTCCGATGACAAAATACTGTTATTTTAAAATGAACCACAGGAATAATTTTGCTGTTTATATCTGCGTCCGGCTTCTTAGAAAGCAAGTGGCTCCACGAACACTCAATAAACTGGGGCTTATTCCTCTCAGGCATGTGTGTTGCTGCACTTGTTTCTGTGCTCCAGGAAAGCTCCCAGTTATTGTGTGTGTTGGATACGTGTTTATGTACACGGCTGATAGATGAGATGTTTAAAGTATATGTTGAGTGTTATCAGCGGCAGAATTGTATGGCCAGGCTGATAAATGAAGTAACTGTGCTAAATGAGCTCAGATCTTATTTATCATAATGTTATGCAAGGCCAATAGGACATTTAAGTGAACGACAGCTGCAGATTTATGGTTTTCTTGGGGAAACGAGCGTTTGATAGAGACCGGGAGTGTCACAAACACCATTCCTGAGACTCACCTCGGGGCAAGTTTGGTTGCTGATTCCATGATTTAGTTTGTATTTTGCTCATTTAACCATTTATCATAGAATCACTTAGGCTGGAAAAGACCTCTGGGATCATATTTACGATTTATTTGTATTTTGCTGGCTTAATGACGCAGTTTATATTTTTTGATGGTGAAAGTTGTATAATAGAAGGGAGCATCACTGGTTTGGGAATATAAACGAGAACAAGACTGGTATTGGTGTTTTCTTCAGTGGCACAGTTTGCCTGTAAAGAGCCAGCAGATGACAGGTCTTGGGAAGCAGATTTTGAGCAATTGTGAGTGGCAGCGGCATCACAGCAGTAGATTCATAAAAACTTGTAAAACAAGCGGGGCCTGGTGATAGATGGTCAAACGATTATTGTTTGCAAACAATATTATCTCCAACAGATAAGCTGTTTACTTTGGACTCCAGCTCCTCTGGGTGGAAAGGAGTCTTAATTCATCAGGGCAGCGGTTCTATGGGGATGCCTCATGCCCCAGCTGTGGAAGAACTCTTACATTAAGAATAGTACTTGGAACCACAGTGAAGTTCAGCTCTAACTCACTTTTACAGATGGTTCCTATATTGCAAAGAATATTGGCTGTTTCCTGGTTGTGCCTTTTTTTTTCTTTCCTTTTTTTTTTTTTTTTAAACACTTTGTTGTGAGAGAGTTAAAAGAGGGGCTCCTGAAACTCACAGTAGACATCTGTTTGTTTGTTTTGTAGCTGTTTCCGTGCCTAGTCCGGAGCCTTGGGCTTTCAACTTGGATAATCTGGCGCTATGCATCCAGCCCCCGGGCGCTTCCAGGCACTGCTGCTCCTCGCCGGCCTCGTCGCTGCCACCAGCCCAGGTGAGGCCTCACCCCATCCAGGGGGACCGGCTGGGAGGTTTCGGGGTTGAGCCCAAACTTCTGACCAAGCGGCGCTTGGGAGCGCGTTTCCAAGTGGCCGCCTTTCGTGGACGTTGTCAATAATCTGCTTTTAAGGGAGCGTGGGGAGCACTGAAAGGCAGCCTCACGCCGAATAGATGGCTTTGCTCGTGAAAACTTGGCTCAGAGCGAGCCCCAGAACGTGGAGGACGCTGGGTTACGTGGGTTTGTTCCTTGGGGTCTCCGTGGATTTAGCTGGACGCCGATTCTGCTGCGTGCAGTGCATCCTGTGTTCCCAGGGGTCGGGAGGGGTTTGGATTTGCAGCGGGAGAGGGGAATCAGCTCTTTGAAACGTGGAGGCTGATGCGTGGCTGCAGTTGGAACAGCTCTGGCGTTAAAAAGAAGAGGAGGGATGGTTTTAATTGACACATCTGCTCTGTGTAGTCAGCTTGTCTTAACGTAACCACACGAAAAAGAAGCTTTTACTACTTTTAGCACTTCATAGCCAGTCGTTATAAGCAAATGGGATAAATTTTATTTTTCAAGCAGCCATAGGAGATAAATTCCAGCTGCAGGGTCACTGCTACCAATTTTGCCTTTTACGCGGAGCACAAAGTGTTGGTGTCAGAAGTGAGGGCAGGGGCGAAGATGAAAGTAGCAGTGTGATTTCATACAATTGGAGCGAGCAAACTGAAAGGTCAGTGCTTCCCTCTTATCCCTGGAAATTCAGACTGAACTAATAGGAAAAACAGTTTTCTAATTAAAAGCTAAAAATGGACATCTGGAGTCCTGTGAAATGCTTGGATACCATTTTTATGGATTTCATCTTTTTTTGTTAAGTGAAGCCACACTTTAATTTCCAGTTTTATTTTATGTTTATGCAGATAGTTTATGGTTCTGTTAAAAATGTGCAGTTTCTCATCTGAAACTCATAACCAGAGCTGGGATGGACTGACTTGAGAAGAAAAGCATGAGCCCAGGGCCCCACCTACAAGAAAACTGTCTCTGACTTGGATGTCATTTAATATCATCTTGACCCATACTATCTGGAATTCCTTAGCTCCTTTACAAACTAGGAATTGTTTTTTCCCAGCTGATGTGTCTATTTTTAATTTTGTTTTTTCTCCTAATTTGTATTACTAACCAAATAAGTGTTAGTGGTGCCAATTGCCTTTTGCTTGCTCCCTTCATGCAAAAATCTTCAGTGGAGAATTTCATAGAAAACAAATGGAAATAATTCCCAGTGTTTCACTGGCCAGGATAGGAAAAAAAATCTCCTCCAACAAGCAGGAATTTTCTTCTGGCAAATAAATGGATTCTCATAACCAAGTTCTGTGGAATTGAACCTTTTATTTATTAGCAGCTCTTCCTGTTTCTGTTCATCTTTGCTCAGTAAAGATAATGGATGCCCAATTCATCATCCTTGTCCTGATGAAGTCCATGTATTTGGAATTAGCAAGAGCCTTTGCTGTTCGTCCAGCTTTTTTTATCCTGCTATTTTTAATTAGTTCTGCAGACTCAGAGACGGTTCTGTATAAATACCTGGCAGGCTCCTGCCATTTCTAACATTTTACAAGTCACGTCCGGGCCCGCTTCATATGGGACAGATCAGCTGCAGCTGCGTGTTCCCTGCTCCGGCTCTTCAGGTGACGGCTGCTGTTTCCCTCTGGATAAATCCAGTGGGATTGCAGTTTTTGCTGGCCCTGGCAAGCGCGTTGCCTTTGCCTTGGGAATGTGTCATCCCCTACGCTGCACCTAACTCTGTTTAATTACTGTCACCCCCTTTGTGGGGTTCAAATCTTGGAGTTTTCCCGGTGTTTGAGAGTGAGCAGGAATCTCTCCTGAGCTCCTCTTACCAAGGAAAAGGCAACACCTGCTTGAGTATCATTTGCAGCTTGGGGCTTAGAGACCCTCTATATGCTCAGTCTTTCATACCAGTTTACCTTATCACCTGTGCCCGTGCAAAATGCTGGTCTCTAACCCAGTATTTGTATTTCCTTTCAGATTTAACTCCACGTTTCATTTCTGAGCCCTCCTCTGCCGTCCAGAAGTCCGGCGAGCCCGTCCAGCTCCGCTGCTCTGCCGAGCCCTCCACAGCTCACCTGTCTTGGCTGTTTAATGGGGAGCCTCTGGACAGCAGGGCCGGAGAAGTGGAAATCCAGGCGGGATCTCTGACAATCGCCTCCCTCAGCCCGGCGACGTGCGGCCGCTATCAGTGCGTGGCGAGCAGCGGTGTGGGCGCCGTGCTGAGCCGGCCTGCCACGGTGTCCATGGGCAGTAAGTGCATCCTCATTCGTGCCCTTTGCTCCTTGCAAACCCTGTAGACCTCAGCTGGCTCGTGGGGTTTGTTCTTCTTTGACTTTTAGGAAAACACCCAACCTTTTTTTTTTTTTTTTTTTTAATTATATCATCTGGGACCTGTCGGGTGATGCAGCCCCTGGAACAGATTCCCCAGAGAGCTTGAGGATCCCCACCCTTGGAGGCTTTTAAAGCCTCGGCCATACCAAACCACACCTGATGGATTTTTGCCTCATTTCGAGCTGAAGGACCTCAAAAACCTTTTTCAGCAAACGCAAATATTATTCAGCAAAATAACATTCATTTCCATGAATTGGCCTGAAAGTACAAGATTCCCAAACACTTCCCTTCACATATGATGTTGAAAGGGCAGCTGATCTGCCACACTGTTGCAGAAGTGTGCTTGAGTGTTGAGGAGAAATGGGTGAGAATTGTTGCCTAGGAAATAAGTGGGAGAGGCAGATTTTTCCTTTTCATTTGATTTGATCAAACCAACGTAGATGTTCTGCAGGTGGGGACAGTCTTCTGTCCATTGAGGGACAGTTTCCCTTCTCTCAGTTTCACCAGTTCTTCTGATCAGCCTTTGCCTTGGTGCTTGATCTGTAAATTATTTGATCTTGAGGGACTTCAGAAGAGGAAGGGGCAATGTTTTCCACATGGAAAGGACGATGTGATGCTGAGAATGGGAATACAATATCCCTGCATGAGCATGATTTGTCTGCTTGGGATCTCGGGGCTGTCTGAATCAGGCCTTTGTCAAGCAGGGTTTGAGTGATTTCTCTGGAAGGGTACCTCATCTATGGAGCATGTCCAAAATGCCCCTGGGAGGAAAATCTCTTATAAGTGAGAGAAGTAAGTGTTTTGGTAAAGTACTGACCCATGGCCAGACCCTCTCAAGAGAGCTCTAAGGGTGGCTAACATAGAAAAACTTCACAGCCTCGAAGATGCTTTGAACATGAAGGGAGTAGAAGAGCAGCTTCCACACTTCCCTCCTGCCTTGGAGGTTTTGGCAGCATGTGGGGAGGTGCTGGGAGCTGGGGGCTCTCTCCTAGGGAAGGGTGCTGGGAGCTGGGGGCTCTCTCCTAGGGAAGGTGCTGGGAGCTGGGGGCTCTCTCCTAGGGAAGGTGCTGGGAGCTGGGGGCTCTCTCCTAGGGAAGGTGCTGGGAGCTGGGGGCTCTCCTGGGAAGGTGCTGGGAGCTGAGGGCTCTGTCCTAGGGAAGGTGCTGGGGGCTCTCTCCTTGCCTCAAGGCTAGTGACAGCAAGAGGGAGGCACTGCTGCACTCACTGCTGTGTTCATTATCATCACAGAGAGACAATTCTGTGTTTTTAGGGACAGGCTTCCTGCTGTCAGTGTGAATTGTCTCCTGTAGTGCCTGCAGAGCCCCTGAGGGAGCCCTGCAGCCTTTCCAGTGTCTCTGCTTGCTTTTCCAGGAGCAGTTGAGGGAACATAGGAATTATTTTTTCTCACTATTCCCGTGTAAAAGCTGGTGCTTTTTGTAGTGAGGAGGTGGGTAAGGAGGGTTTGTGCTGTTATGGGCTGCAGGATAGACCATGCCTGTTGATGTGAATGTCCAAATGCTGCACCAAAGACAATCAGGATGAAGCCAGCTGTGTTTTGAACACAAATACTGAGCTTACTGCCCTTCCTCTCTCCCAGGCCATGGCTGCTCTTACCCTTTTCCCAAATCTCTCCAGGTTTAGGTGACTTTGATGCCTCAGTGACAGCTGCCATTGCAGCAGAGGAAGGAGGCTCAGCTCTCATCGGGTGCAAGGTGCCAGAAAGTCACCCCAAAGCACAGGTTCGCTTCCAAGTGCGGGGGAAATGGCTGGAACAATCAAGAGGTGAGATTTTTTTTTTTGTGCAATGTAAGTGTCCAACAAAAGCTCGCCCGGAGTTTTTTTCTTAGAACCTACAGGAAAAAGTCCTCGGGAAACTTGCAGAACTTCCTGTGCATGACTTTATCTAAAGCTGTCTTTGGAAATGAATCTTCTTGGAATGGTGATCTCTTTGTGATCCTATGTTTAGGGTAGATTAGTATAGCTGAAAAGTTAATGAAAAACTAAAAAGAGGAAGCCTTTTCTTGAAACTACATTAAATATAATCTTCTTTTTTTCCTTCCCCACTTGTTTAGACAACTACCTAATTCTTCCATCTGGAAACCTGCAGATTTTGAATGTATCTTTAGAAGACAAAGGATCCTACAAATGTGCAGTGTACAACCCAGTCACTCGTGATCTCAGAGTAGAACTCACTGGACGTAAGCTCACAGTCACACGTGAGTATCCTGTTCAGCTTCCCAGAATTCACACACCTCAAACTCAATAAATAACATCCCTAGGGGTTTTTGGCATGGGCATATCAGTGTCTCCAGTACTGTGTAATGTAAAATCTGTCCTGCATTCTTTGCACATTCAGTTCTTATTTCCCCTCTCTGTGGAGGAGCAGCATAACTGCTTCTCAAATCCCAGGAAGACACAGCACTCAGCCCTTGGAAAGGGGATATTGTGTGTACTTCTGTCCCCAAACCTGTTTTGGAGCAGGACTTCTTGAAGAGAGCATTACAGCATTGTGCTTAGTCCCAAGTGCAGACACATGTTTGAAAGGCATGGAGGAGGACTGGGGAACAGGATGGGAGGTGTAAAAGCTTGATTGGTGTCAAGATTAGAGGGCTGGAACACCTCTGCTGTGAGGAAAGGCTGAGAGAAATGGGATTGCTCAGCCTGGAAAAGAGAAGGCTTAGGGGTAATGTAATTGTGGCCTTCCAGTACCTGAAGGAAGCCCACAAGAGAGCTGGAGAGGGACTTTTTACAGGAGCATGGAGTGACAGGACAAGGGGGAATGGCTTCCCACTGACAGTGGTTTAGATTAAATATCAGAAAGAAATTCTTCCCAGTGAGGGTGCTGAGGCCCTGGTACTGGTTGCCCAGAGAAGCTGTGGCTGCCCCATCCCTAGAAGTGTCCAAGGCCAGGTTGGAGGGGGCTTGGAGCAACCTGGGCTGGTGGAAGGTGTCCCTGCCTGTGACCAGGGCTTGGAGCAGGATGAGCTTTAAGGTCCCTTCCAGCCCAAACCACTCTATGATTCTATTCTACAATTCATCTCCTTTCTTCCAGGCCCTTCCTCAGGTGGCTCCCACATCCTTCACCCTCTGGCCCCCCAGACTCTGGCAGTGCCCCAGCACAGTGCCCTGACACTGGAGTGTGTGGTCAGTGGGGCGACTCCCTCCGTCCGCTGGGTCAAGGACGGCCGGGACGCGCTGGGGCGAGGCCGGTGGGAACTGCTGCACTCCCACCTGGTGACGGACAGGCTGGAGGCATCAGATGCTGGGAACTACTCCTGCGTGGTGGGAGCTGACTCCGGAGCAGTGAAATACGTTAACTATTCACTTACTGTACTTGGTAAGAAAAAAAGATGTTTTGGATGTCCAGGCAATGAACATTTCCTTCATGTACGTGCTGGTTTTGGCATCTGCTCCCAAACAGCATCACATTCCTTCTCAGTCTTAAGCATATTAAAATAAAGAACACAGATCTGTTCATAATGACCATGTCCCATCATCTCTTCCAAGTTAAAATCCGTAATTATTTATCTCTTCAAATCCTGTGCAGTCTGAAGTAATGAAACAGTGAAGGATAACAAACTCCGAGGGAGGAACTGATCCATTTATTTTCCTGCAGAATGCCAGTGTCAGTGGTATGCCAGGGATCAGATGTGCCTCTCTTGAGGTTGTACATGAGCAAAAGGCTGGTGAGGAGAGGTGAGATGTTTGGATGAGGACATAAACAAAAGCAAAAGAATCGTATTCATATATTTGGCCTCTTTTGTGTGGCTGCAATTTCTTCCTCATTTTCCTTTTCCATTGTAGCAGATATTCCTGGTGTTTGAGGTTTCTGCATCCTTGACTGGTTTTGTTTGGGTTTGGAAATGTGTATGTTGAAGTTAGTCAGAAAACAGGGTGTTGACACACAACATGCCTTTCGTTTTGGGGTTGTCGCTAGCAAATTATTTTGAAAATACAGGGGTTTTATTTACAGAATTAATGCAAACATGTGGCTGTTTGGGACAGAAGGGAGAAACCATTCAAATAAACCCATGTGTGGGAAAACCAGCCTTGGGCTGTGCAGAACCAGCAGTGTGTGGTGACGTGATGAGCCTGTGGAACGTTTCACAGCAGTTTTTTCAGGGCTTGGTCGAAGATCAGCAGACGGTGGTTTATGTAAAATCACTTCCCTTTCCAGAACCTGCCTCGCTCTCCAAGGGGCTCCAGGATGAAACCGTGGCCGCCGGGGCGACTGTGCATTTCTGGTGCGACGTCCGTGGCATCCCCGCTCCAGCCCTCACCTGGCTCCACAACGCCGCTCCCCTCCGGCCCTCCCCGCGGCACTTCCCGACGGGAAACCACCTCTGGATCTGCGGGGTCACCCCGGGGGACTCCGGCTTGTACCAGTGCGTGGCAGACAATGGAATTGGGGTTGTGCAGTCCACAGGGAGGCTCCGTGTCCAGCCAGGTAGGAGCACTCCAGCCCTCAAGGAATCACATTAAGCATTTGTGCTTCAGGCTTTATTCTGGTTTGACTTTTTCCCTCTGGATTATGTATTAATTGGTTTCTGACCACTAATCTTGCAAAGAAGGTGCTTTCAGTTGGATTTTAAGAGACTTTTGGGGTTGTGTGGTTACTTGATACTTAAACCTAGATTACCAGTTGCAATTAAATCAGCTTATGACTGAATTTGACATGATTTGTGCTCAAATAGAGTCTGGGTCCTGTTGTGCTGGATGAGCTAGTACTCTTAGCAGTATTGGCTGATGAGTAGTTATGCCTGTTCCATGCTCTAATTTGCAAAACAATCCTCAGGCTGGGGGTTGATGCACACTTCCCCTTTATCAGATTGGCAGGATCAGGTACCAGGAGTCATCTAGATCACTTTTCAGTCTAAGATACTTTATAATGCCCAGAGAACTTGATTTTTGCTAGCACAACAATGTTGGCAAGACCATTGCTGTCCCTGTTCTCTCCCTGTCATGTGTAGCTGAAGCTTTGAACCTTCTCAGTACCAGTAATGATCCGTGTGAGCTGTGCAGAGCCTGGCTGAGCAGAGATTTTGTGGCCTGCTTGTGTGTGGAGTGCCTAAGCCAGTCTTGCCTGCAGTGTTTTCTTCACTGACAGTCAAGTCTTCATCATTTAGAGAAGCTGAAGTGTGGTTTGAGTTTCTCTCAGCCTCCTCTAAGCAGTCTGAACTGATCTCTCCAGTCTGGAAGGGAAGCCTGGGGAAGAAAAAACTGTGTAAAATGGTTATAAAGAACCACGTGTGACTTTTTTAATTGTACTGACTGACTTGGGCATTAAGTGTCATATTCCTTAGTCAAGCTCATCGTTTGCATTTCCCCCAGGCACAGGCTCTGTCCCTGTCATAGTCTCTTCCCCCGGGAGCGTCACCGTGGTGGCTGGTGGGGATGTGACGCTGTCCTGCAACGCCACCGGGCTCCCCGCGCCCACTGTCCTCTGGTACGACAGCAGGGGCCTGGTGACCAGCCACCCTGCCCAGGTGCTGCATCCCAGAGTGCAGAGGCCTCCTCCAGAAGGGCCGGAGCCCTCCTGCCTCTCCGTGTCCCAGGTGGGCTGGAGCTCCCTGCGCCTGCGGAACGTGACTCCGGAGCGCGCCGGCGAGCTCAGGTGCGAAGCCGTCAACGAGCACGGCTCTGCCGTGTCCAGAGCCTTCCTCACAGTCGGTAAGTCAAGCCCAAACCATCCCATTGGCTCCCTGGTTTAGGTGAGAAATGCCTCAAAATAAGAGGGTGGGGTGGGATCCAGGGGAAACGAAGCAGAGGAGTCTCCGTTGCCTCCATGGACCAGTTCCTCCCTCCCCCTTTTAAGCAAAGGAGAAGTGCTGTGTGCGTTGCATGGACATCTTACATGTGCTAAAACGTATCCAAGGGTGGGGTTTTTTATTTATGGTTTGAAATTACTACTGGAAAAGACAGTTCTTATACTAAAGGCAGGATGGAAAAGAGCCATTTCCTTTCCTCACACTGGAATATTATGTGACATTAGTAGAAGGTTTAAGCCCCCCCAGGTTTCCTTCACAAGAACTTAGATACAGATTTTTAGTTACATGAAGTGACTTAAGTTTCTTAGCTCTTTCAGCACCTTGCCTTAGTTAATTCAGCTGAATGCCAGGGAGATTTCGGGTCGGTGGGATTTAATAAGTGGCCTCATATTTAAAGTTCTTTGGTTAGAGTTTAAAACTCCCGTAAATAACTTGAAAAGCTGCATAAAGGTTCACTTAGAGAAAAAAAGAAAGAAGAAACCTCAAGAAAGTGATCCCATCATGTAGTTTTATAAATCAGTTATTGTTGGACCTTGCTGAGTGGAAACACGAAACTAAATATCATCCCAGAATTCAGTCTGTGTCAAAGAGAAAAATCCCTCTGCTTTGCCTTGGAATTTTATGGCAGTAAGTTCAATTTTAATGCTTTGTTTATTAACTTTTATCGGTTTCTAATATGTTGTACTGGCTGCTGATTATGGTGCAGAGGGTGGTTAAGGCATTTGGTTTTGATATAGAAGTCCCTGAGGAGTTTCTGGGAGCTGTTAGGGCTTTAGAGCAGCTCCCAGCCATGCCGAAGGCACGCTCAGACATTCAGCTGTCTGATGAAGAATTCGTGCCAGGTAACGCTTCCGAAGCACCTGAATGACTTCAGCTGGGATTCCAGTGCATTTCTTCGGTAGCAGGATCCGCTTAAGCTCCTCTCAGCCTTGTCCCAGCACACAGTAAGAGAGCTCATTTGGCTGAAAAATGTATCTTTCTTTTTTTTTTTCCTTGTGCTGGATCTGTTCCAGGCCGTGATTCATTGCACGGTCTTACAGCGGGCAGGACAACTTCAGCTGCCACCAGAGTGAGAAACCACCAAAATGTAAAACGATGCCTCGGGATCCTGTACCCACGGCCCTCCCTTCTTTTGTGTCTTTTTTAGACAGTTGTGGGGTTCGCCTGCTTGGCAGTAGCTTCCCAGAGCTAGGGAAAGAATGCAAGGTTAATTCTCCAACATAACTTCATCTAATGGAAATGAAGGAGAAAAATACACTCCAGGCGGTTTGAGTAGCAGGAGAGTGAGTGTAAAACACAAGAAGGAGCGTTTGGTGTAGGCAGGTGGGTGATTCAGGGGTGAGAGGCTGAAGTTGCTGCCACAGAAGCCTTCTAGAACCTCTGAGAAGTCCTAAGGCGATTTGAAACTCTTGCCAGGTGTGGGTGACCTCACTGATGTGCTGCATTCAGGTTTTCAGGGGGCTTTCCCAGCCCGTGCTGAGGTACTTGCAGAGTGGGGCAGATCCTGTGGCTGTTCAAGAGGCAGGGAAGCAGTGCCTGGGAATGTGATCTGTTTGCACAGCAGAGACAAACCCCAGAGCTGCTGTGCAGCCAGGGCACGAGCTGGGATCTGCCCCGGGTGCACCCCTGTGAGGAGGCTGGAAAGGTGAGGGCTCTTTGCCCTCAAAATGAGGCAGTTGAAGGGGAGAAACAACAACAACCTACAAAGTACTGGGTATTATGGAGAGTGTGAATCACAGCTCTGGAGACAGGCTGGGAGAGCTGGGGGTGTTCACCTGGAGAAGAGGAGGCTTTGGGGACACCTGAGAGCCCCTTCCAGGGCATAAAGGGGCTCCAAGAGAGCTGGAGAGGGACTTGGGGCAAGGGCCTGGAGGGACAGGACAAGGAGGAATGGCTTCCCACTGCCAGAGGGCAGGGTTAGATGGGATATTGGGAAGGAATTCTTGGCTGTGAGGGTGCTGAGGCCCTGGCACAGGTTGCCCAGAGAAGCTGTGGCTGCTCCATCTCTGGAAGTGTCCAAGGCCAGGTTGGACAGGGCTTGGAGCAACCTGGGCTAGTGGGAGGTGTCCCTGCCCATGGCAGGGGGTAGAACAAAATGAGCTGTAAGGTCCCTTCCAACTCAAACCATTCTAAGATTTTATGAGTACATTCCTTTAATGCCCAAATTCGGGACATTCAGTCCTTCTCTGATTGCTGTTGGAGGCAGGGTTTTGGGGACATGCAGCCTTTGGTCTGACCCAGCTCAGGGCTGCTGGTGTTGTGTTCCACAGTGGGGCTGGGAAGCTGAGGCAGAAAAGTCTCCGTGGCTGAAGGGAAAGGGATGGCACTGAGAGCAACAGCCAAAAAAAGTTGCATAATGACACAGCAGCAGAGAGAAAGCTGATGTGCTGGGTTATGTGGGTAGCAATTATGCCAGAAACTTCTCAAATAGAGCTTAGATCTGAATTGCTTAATGGGAATTGTTACCCAGGGGTTGTTTTCTGAAGCAAAAATACGAACAGCTCGGCGGTTGTTGACGACTCCCCCCCGCAGCAATAAACACGGCGCTGGCTGCGGGTCTGCTGTCACCAGCTGAAACCACAACTCATTCTCCACTCCAAGAGTCCGTGTCCCCAGTGCCAGCAGGCGTCAAACCAAGCTGTGCCCACCCACACATCCTCAGGGTCCACCACGGGGCCGTGGGCCTTCCGCCTCCTCCCATTTGTTTCCAATCTCGGGCCCTTCCCGCTGCTCCGCTGACAGCGGAGATACCCCTTTCACTCGGGGGTTGTTCTGGGGGTGTCTGACATTTTAGGACCATCTGGCTTCGGGGACATCCTCCCCGCATTGTTCCCTTCTTCCTGTCTCCGAATTTTGTGGCGTTGCTAAATAAGCGAGAAGAAACAAACAAGGAATGCTTGCTGAGAGCGTGTCTTCAATTTGAAAAGAGAACTTTCCTCCCCAGCTTTTTAGAAAGTGGCCAAAAATAGCAGCCACACTTGCTGCTGGTATTTTAATGGAGGTTTGGAGGAATCTGAGTCAGCCAGGCTAACACTGCCTAGGCTTTACATTACCAAGGAATTTGTTTGTTTTGTAAACCAAGTTCCCTTCATTCCCTTCCCCTTCCAGACCCCAACACGTAACATAAACCTACACAAATCTGAGAGGACGGACAGGGCTCCGAACATCTGGCAGTCCCAGCACTGCCATGTGCAACCTTGAGGAGCTGCACTGCTTCCCAAAACTCCTTGCTTTAAGCACTGACGTTTTCTTGTCCTGGATAATCTCAGATGTCCAACCTGCCATCCCTTTCCTGCCTGGAATGCTGACGAGCCCTGCATTGGCTGAACAGGGCTTTTTTTTTTTGCCTCTTTCGAGCTAATATTATATATATTTTTCTTTTCATGCCAGGAAACATAAATAGGATGGAGGAGGCTGGAGAAGGATTTCTAGAAATGTGTTGGTATTAAATTGCATGTTAGATCTGCCTGTAAACTGAGTTTATTCTCAGCATAAATTTTCAAATGAAGTAGTTGAGTCGTGCAGCTTTCAAAGCTTCTCGAAATTACAGCTAAAACCTCAGAAACTGAGGTAGGAGAATGTCCTCTTGTGTGCATGCCAGTGCAGGCCATGAAAAGTTCCTTGTACAAGGGCGATTAATTTAAAATTGCTCCATTTGTGTCACAAGTGTAGCTATATATATTTATTTATTTCTTTTAACATGCATTGCCACAACTGAATTTAGAGGAGATACAGTCAAACTGTGCCTGCAGACCTCGAGTTTCAGGTTTTCTCTCTTTGCTACTGTGAAAAAAACACTAAACCAAATAAAACAAACCAAACCCCACTGCTGTGCCCTGGAAAAACACTGAGGCCGCAGCTTGGCACCGGGCTCAGGTCTGTGTGGGTACCTCTGGACCTGGAGCTTTGCAGCAGGGCTTGTTTGGAAATGTCACTCCGAAATGATTTAGTGTCCCGTGGGCGCGGGGCGAACGTACGTCATCGTGGGGATGTAACCAGACCCTCCCTTTGCAGTTCCTCCAGCAACTGGCACGAGAGCAGGAGAAACAGCTCCTCTGGAGCTTGCCCAGAGCGATGAGAGCGGGGGTGATTTCGGTGCAGAGGCGGCGTTTTCGAGCTCCCCTCCGACCAAAGCGCCTCCGGACGCGGCTGCGATGGACAAAGCGCCGAGCGCGGCCGCCCCGCCCGAGGCCCCCATCATCCTGAGCCCCCCCCAGACACCAAAACCGGACACCTACAGCCTGGTGTGGCGGCCAGGCCGGGCCGGGGGGCTGCCCATCAACGCCTACTTCGTCAAATACCGCAAGGTACCGTCTCCTGTCCCCCTGGCACGGGTGGATCGCGGCGCGTTGGGTTCCTCAGGGAACCAACTGTGCTGGTGTTGACCAGGCCGTGAGGCTCAGGCCAGAGAGAACACAGGATTTAGTTGAAGCACAGCGTGCCCACAGCTCATTTTAGGGATGGCTGACGTTGTCACAAATACGCTGTTCTGTCTGGTTTGAAGTGAGAGTTATGCAACCAGCAGTAGGGCAAGAGGGCTGGGTCTCAAGCTCTGCCAGGGGAGGTTTAGATTGGACATCAGGAAGAAATTCTTTACAGAGAGAGTGATCAGCCATTGGAATGGGCTGCCCAGGGAGGGGGTGGAGTCACCATTCCTGGAGGTGTTTAAGAAGAGACTGGATGTGGCATCAGTGCCATGGGCTGGGTGACAAGGTGGTGTTCAGTCATGGGTTGGACTAAATGATCTCAGAGGTCTTTTCCTACATAGCTGATTGTGTGATTATCCAGGCTTTTATGTTTTTTACAGTGTCATTATGGGCAACGGGGCTCCAGGGCATACTCTGTGCAATGTCAGTGGTGTTAAAAATGCATTTGTGTGAGCAAGCTTGAATCTGTGTGTGAGAGCAGAAGGGAAGCTGGGTTTTACCCCAGTATGTCAGAGTTTGCTGTTCTGCATCCCAAAGGGACTCGATTAAACTAAAGTTACCAAATACGAAGGTGAATTAAAATTTGCTGGGCAGGTACCTACCATGTCCCTAAAAATGGTGTGTCAACACCAAACTCTTTTGCCTAAAATCACGTGGTGGGATCCTTGGGGCTGTCCTACGCAGAACCAGGAGCTGGACTTGGTGATCCTGGAGGGCCTCTTCCAACTCAGGAGGTTCTGTGATTCTCAAATCAGAACCAAGCAATGCCTGGTTCTTCCAAGCAAACTTCTTCCAAGCAAAATCTGTTCTTCCAAGCAAACAGTTTTCTGCATGGCAAAGCTGTTTGATTTATTTTTCCTAAGCTTTTTAATCCCCTACATCCTGCTCTTGTCTTAGCCTGGAGGGAATGCCTAGATTTTTGACCTGTTGGTTCCTGAAAACCTAGTGCCAGAGTCTGCTGATGATAATTTCTCATCCAAAGGCAGTTGGTTCACGTAAGCCCTGGAAGCTTTGGATGCTTTTTTGACCTTTTTGATGCTCACCCTTCACTTACACCAGTCCTTTCCACACTAAATGTGCTCACTCATGAGTTTCTCAGCAGGGAGTTTACCCTGGTTTTTAGGGTGGTGCTCTCTTTGTGTCATTAAATTATTTTATTGATTTCCCTCTTTTAATAGAGGGGAAAAAAAAAAGATGGGGGAATAAAAAACTTGGAGTGGCTGCTGCAGAAGAAAATAGTTGAACAAAGACCTCTGGCATAACCTTTGATAATCCACAGCGTTTAGATCTGCCTCCAATGTTTTATTAAAGTCTTATGTTGTTTAGTAGTTTATTTTTGGTGGAATCTTTGTCTTTTCCTTTGGGATTTGGGGTAATGTTTTCCTGGATAGGTCAAGCATTAAGAGACTACCCTGAATCTCTTTTCCTTTCTTAAGTGGAGCTGATGGTTTCACTGCTAACTTAAAGAGTGTTTTGGTTTTTGTTTTTTAAAAAAGGAAACATGCATTAATAAACTGAAATCTTTCATTTCCCTGCTGACATTTTTCCAGGCTTGAGGAGTAACAAAGGCATAACCTTTGTTGCCCATTTCAGGCAGTAAGTACTTAAAAATGCTGAAGTACAGCGAAAGCTGGGCTAGTTCAGGGAACATCTCTCCCATCAGTGTGTTGGGTCCAGCCCTTTAGTGGCACACGCTGCCAGCTGAAGGCTGAGCAAAGGCTTGGAAACCATTTGGGCTCTTGTAGTTTTAACCACGAGTGAAAATGGAAAAACAAAGAAGGTCAAAACCACGTGTGTGTGTGTGCACGGAGAGGGAAAGTCAGTCGAGTTCATCCCAGGAGTGCTGTGAAAGTGGTTGCAAGAGTGGTGGTTTGTGGTAGAAGCACCTGGAGACAAACCACGGGTAGATGTAGGAAAACAGAAGGAGTTTTGGCAAGGGGCGGAGGTCGCTTGGGTGCTTGTGCATGGAAGCGGTGCGGGATTTGAGGGTCCCCTCGGGCTCCTGACGCTGAGTTTCTGCCCCTGTCGTGTGCAGCTGGAGGACAGCGTGAGTGCAGCGGGCAGCTGGCACACCGTGCGTGTCCCCGGCAGCGAGAACGAGCTGCGGCTCACGGAGCTGGAGCCCTCCAGCCTCTACGAGGTGCTGATGGTGGCCCGGAGCGCCGCCGGCGAGGGCCAGCCGGCCATGCTGACCTTCCGCACCAGCAAGGGTAGGTGCAGCACCACGTGCCCTCTGCCCCACCCTCCCAGGGACACTTGTTTAGTGACATCAGCCATGTGCTGTCTGCTCAGCCACATGTGAAATATTCCGCAATTTACTTTAGCCTCAACGGCTAAAATAGCTGTAAGGGCAAACCTCCCTGAGCGTTACCAGGGCTGTTGGTAAGTAGAAGCTATTAAAAGCTTGATAATGTTGGGTTTTGGGGTGATTATTAAGATTTCCACTGTGAGGTTCCTCTTGCTTAAGGACGTGAAATCAAGGAGCAGCCCGCCCTTGTTGAGGCTTTTCAGAGAACCACAAAAGAAACTCTGCATCCTCAAGTTTTCGTGTATCAACAAAGCTGCTCCTGGTTTGCTTTGCAGACACCTCAGTCACAATCTCTGCTGACCACGAGCCAGCTGTTCTGACAGTTGTGTGCAGACAGCAATAAGCACAAGAACATTCCTCCTAATCAGACCATTCTTTTTCTTTCAAGTTTGGACACTGGTGGCTGTGCTCTTTAGCATGCAAACAATTAGATATTTTTCATACTATAGTCCAAGAATGGCTTTAAAGTGACAGAAGGCAGGATTAGATGGGATATTAGGAAGAAATTCTTCCCAGGGAGGGTGCTGAGGCCCTGGCACAGGTTGCTCAGAGAAGCTCTGGTTGTCCCATCCCTGGAAATATCCAAGGCCAGGTTGGATGGTGCTTGGAGCAACCTGGGCTAGTGGAAGGTGTTGCTGCCCATGGCAGGGGATGGAAGGAGATGGACTTTAAGGTCCATTCCAACCCAAACCATTCTGGGATTCTATGCAGGACAGGATAGCTTAAAATTTTATTAAGAATGTGATGTATTCATGAATTCTGTGAAAGCTACTTAGCATCCTTTGCCCTATGCATCCTTATCATTGTTCTATCAACAAACAGATCCAAAACTGATAGCCCCCAATCTCTGGAAATGTTACCCCCTGCTAAAAAAAAGTCAACAACTCCCTAATTGTGACCTACTCACGCCCTGAAACATCTCTCCCTGATGAAACTTTGGGTCCCTCCCAGGCATCTGCCTGATAACACAGATCCTGACTGACCTCCTACTCGCCCTACATGTCACAGCAGACACAGCCCCAGCTGCCACTGCCCTCACCCAGACACACAGAAATGTTCACTATGGCTGATTGATCCCTAAGCTGCTCCGAATGGAGCCTCATTCTTCTTCACCTGCATCCATCAGCATGTTGAGTGGGGATTCTGCTACAGCTCCTACTTATACAAAGAAACCTGCTCACCCTCATAGCAGCCCCCTTCGTAGGCTGTGTGCTGCCATGAGGCCAGGTACCCCTCTGAGGGGCCACAGTCATCACTGGCCTGTTCTCAGCCATCCCCTACCTTGGACAGACCCTTGTAGAATGAGCCTGAGGAGGATTCTCCATAGAAAACCCCACACTTACCTGAATTTTTGCCCCACACTTCCTCCCTTTATAATCACGGGCCCCACATTCCTTCACCCCATCTTCCGCCCCAAGTCAGGCTCCAACAGCCCCCAGGGTGTGGTATCAAACGGTGGCAAAATCCCATTCCACCCATACTTTTCCATAAAAGACATCCTAGGATTCATGCTCGTGTTCCTCCCACTTCTAACCCTCCCAACTTACTGGGGGACCGAGAAAGCTTCACACCAGCAAACCCACTTGTCACACCCCGTTGTATTAAACCCCAGTGATGCTTCCTGTTTGCTGTCCTGTGCTCAATCCCCAGAAAACTCAGAGGAGTCAGTGCTGCTCCCCCTACCCTGCTCTGTACTGTGCTGCCATACCTACTGCCACAAGCCAAAAACCCACTCAGCCTGGTGTCGTGGCTGTGCCACAGCAAGTGACCTTCTAGAGGTCACTAGAAGGTCACTTCTAGAGGGGGTAGAGGGGGTCAGTGAGCAGCATTTCCTTATCCACTCCCTGAGCTGATGTGTTGTCTGTCAAATCTTTCTTAGAAAGAACATCATCCTTGAAAAACACTCAGGCTCCATCACCACCCATGGGCATCCCTAAACAACCCGTTGTTCATGAAGGCACAAATAATTTCGGTGTTGTCCTTCCAGACCTGTCTCGCCACAGCGGAGGTAGGAGTGGGGATGGTTTGTGATCCAGGTACTAAAGGTCGTGTTGCAAAGATCTGTGTTTGACTTAACCTGTGTTTGTTACTGCTTCGGGTGCTTGTATTGCCTCTTCCATTTCCTGTCTGTCCCAAGGCTGCTCTGTTGCACAGGGTATTTCCAAGGATGATGTTACCTGCATGTGTGGCTCTCAAAAAATAAGAGAATTTTCACTTACAACCCACTTTCCTGCTGCTCATTTTTAAACCTGCGGTTGCTTTTTGCAAAATACTCTGGTTTTCTCTTCCCTTCTACTGTAAAAGAGCCAGAGGAAGAAGGGAAGTGGGAAATGGCTGTGTCAGAGGTTTAAGTTCTCAAAGTGGATGATATCTGTTCTGAATGTCTTCCTGTGGCTTCCCAGGCATGGGCTTATTTCTGATGGCGAGGAGATACAAGCGCTTCCCAGTAGGTGTGACTTTTACTCTGCTTTCCAGTGAAAACAGCATGTTTGTAGTCCTTTTCCTCACCCACCCCAGCCTTTGAACCCTTGGCCTGATTCAGGCAGATTTCCTCAGGGTATCTCAAGGGTATCAAAAATTTGGGGTGAAGCCAAAGGTGAGCAGAGTGACGCAGGCAGGGAGCTGAGCGTTGCACACTTGTGGCAGCACTGAATGTCAGAGGAGCCACACAGGGGCCTTACTTGTGTCTGCCTGCAAATGCTCAGCTGCTTCATGCCCCAGAGCTGCCAGCCTGCTGTTCCTTGCTCTGTTCCCCTCCTCAGTGTTCACAAATCCAGGCTGGTTCAGTAAAGCCTCACAGCTCTTACAACCAGATTTACTAACACCCCTCTTTCCCTTCTCTCTGTCCCACTGCTGCCTGTAACTTCAGTGAGTTCCGTAAGTACATCCTAGTACATGCTTTATTTGTTCTTCCTTCTCCTTTCTCCAGCACTCCAGTTAGTGTGGATGGGTTGACCTTTCACTGGGTCTGAGGGAATTTGGGGGGTTTGAAAATAATAATCACATTTTTCCTGTTCACTTAGTGTATGTGTCTGTTTCCATGTAAAGGTGGTCAGGGTAGTGCAATACTATATGATTTTTTTAATATTTTATTGAGAAGATAATCAATTCTTCTGTTGTCTGCTGGTCATCCAGCATTACAGGAGGATTTAAGATTCTCCTTGTTAATATGTGAAGTCCAGCTTAATCACCAGCAATGAGCCTAATCGGTCGTTGCAGAAAATGAAGTTCCAGCTGACTCTAATGCTCTTGTAACCGAAATTTCCAGTTCCAGAAGCTCCAGACCGACCCACCATCTCCACAGCATCGGAATCATCCGTCTACGTCACGTGGATCCCCCGGGCCAACGGGGGCTCCCCCATCACAGCCTTCAAAGTGGAGTACAAGCGCCTGGGTCGCAACAGCGACTGGCTCATCGCAGCCGACAACATCTCTCCCTCCAAGCTGTCCGTGGAAGTTCGGAACCTGGAGCCAGGTATTAGAAATGACCTTTCAATGCTGCAGCTCTCCGATTGTTTCATTTTAACTTCTGCTTGGATTATCCCGTTCCTGCCTGATTAGGTTTGGGGTTTGTGTGTGTGGCCTAGGAGCTCGTTACATGAGTTCAAGTTGGTTTCTGGCTTTCCAAGTGGATAAAAACCCCCACCATAATTTAATACTTGTTCATGTGGAAAGGAGGGTTGTGTATCGCTGCTATTTTTAACTTAATTGTCCTTCTAAGTGAGCACTCAGAATGCAAAGAGAAAAATGCACTGATGAAAAAACGTCTGTCCTGACTTCTCCCGGCATCCAGCCCTGAAAATTCAGGGAAAGAGCACAAGAGGAGAGGCAGTGGATGGTGACAGGGATCCTTTGAAGCATCTTCTCAGTACCCACCAGTTTAGGGACTTCCTGAGCTGATGGAGGCATCTCCATCTGTGTGTGGATTTTCCTCGAGTGGCTTTTAGAAGCTGTTTATACTCCTGATCTCCCCGTCAGTCCGTGGCAGGGAGTCCTCCGCTTTTCCTAACTGGATGTTGCGCGAAAAAAGCGCCTCCTAATCTTGTTTAGTCTCTCCTCGAATCCCCCTTTCTAGCGCTCCTTTCGCTACCGGCGGCTCCTCTCTTTTCCCTTAAAAGGAGAAATGTACCGGTTCCGCGTGATCGCGGTCAACAACTACGGGGAGAGCCCGCGCAGCGCCGCGTCCCGCCCGTACCAGGTCGCCGGATTCACCAGCCGCTTCTCCAGCCGCCCCATCGCGGGACCCCACATCGCCTACACCGAGGCCATCAGCGACACGCAGATCATGCTGAAGTGGACGGTGGGTACCGCGGTGTGTCCCGGCCCTCCCGCAGTTTTGTGCTGTTTGAAGTCGAGGATTAAGAGCTGTGAGTGGTGGTTTCCCCCCTTGCCCGAGGCTCGGGGGTGATGGTGTTCCTCCTTCGTGCCCGTGTGGTAGAACTGGGGGAGCTGCCGGGCCATGTGCCTCTCAAGCCCTTTGCCCCCATTTCCAGACCCTTTTTCCCCCCTTGGAGGCAGGCCTGTCAGTTGTCTGCTGCATTTGCACCATCTCCCCCCCACCCCACTCCCCTTCCAGCCCCCCGGGGACACCACACACCCTCCTCGGGTTACGCCAGATGTGACCCAACTGGCAGCTCCAGTGAGGGGCTGCAGCCGCCGAGTCCACCTGCTCTGGCACAGACATATCAGAGGCACCAGTGGGCTTAACTCTGTCCCAAGCCCTGTTCATGCCATGAGTTGTGAGCAAGTTGGCTCCGTTTCCTGCAATTCCTGCTGCTTTTGTCAATCCAGGCTGGGGTGGCTGGGAGCATTTCAAACCCTCCGTCTTCCCTCACATGCAGTGGAGGTTTCATGTCAGAGAAACGTTTTCCTTTCCCCTGTTACCTCGTCTATTGTAAACAAGTACTTTAAAGTCCTTATTGAAACCCACAGAAATTCTTTGCTCTTGTTTTGAAATCTAACCCCCTGGTATACTTTGGAGGATTTAATGTGTAGAGTTCCCAGTGTTAGTTTGCTCTGCTAGCTCAGCCTTAAGAGATGTTAAGGATAATAAACTTAAAATAACCTCTGATTCCTCAGGAGGCTGCATAACTTAAAGTAAAAGATTCTTGAGCTGATTTTTAGAGTGACCTTAACTCTTTCTGAAGTAAAAATGGTTTTTAACTTTTCCATTTCCATTAATCACGAAAATTTTCAGGCCGTTCATGGTCAAACCCTAATTGAGGGTTTGGAAAGTGATGTGGGAGGAAAGTGTCAGCCCCAGTCAGTCTCTTATCCCCATCCCACACTCCTTTTTTTCAGCTGCTCTGAGGAGATCAGTCACCTTTACTTGTACAACCATATTAAGAATATTCACATTTCCAGGGGATGACAGCAGGGCTCAGTTAAAATTTTTCTTCTCTAACACAGCCCTTTCAAATTCCCTTTGCAGTACATTACATCCAGCAACAACAACACGCCCATCCAAGGATTTTACATCTATTACCGGCCCACGGACAGTGACAACGACAGCGACTACAAGCGGGACATTGTGGAAGGTACGGGGCCAGGCCCGGGGTTAAAACACCCCTCCGGGGGAGGGACACCCTGCAGCCTCGCTGGCTGTGTTTATACGGAATCTAAACTGCTTTCCCCAGGCGCAGTCTTTACCATATGTCTCGCAGAAGGAGCTCTCTCAACTACCTAACGTCAGGTTCTGCCCACACATGAGCTGGTTTCTTCCTTCTGAAGCTGCTTCGATGCGGGAACTCGAGAACTAAATGCTGGGTTTGGGTTTGGATTGTCATACTGCTGCACATCCTTAGTGCAGCTCTGTTTAAACTGGTGTAGCTTCAAGTTGTGTAAAGAGAAAGCAGTGTAAATGGGGTTTAACCCAGGGTAAAAACATCTGGGTTACAGACTGTGCTAATAACTAGCAGGCTTTTAAAATTATTTGCCCCAGCACAGACTTTCTAAGCTGGTAGTACCTTGTGTGTAATTGCCCTTCTCTCCTCTTACCTCACCTAATCACTTCTCCTGCTATAAGGAAGTTGCTTTTAGCCCCAAGTGCTGTAGCACGCTGCAAATGCAGGTATGTTTGTGCCTCATTTTGCCTTTTAATCAAGTTATTTTTTTCCCCTGTGCATATTAGATCATCATTTTCCTGGAAGAAGTTATTAGATAATGTCTATATTAGTCCAGAAGTGGAAAACCCTTTTAAAAATATTTTATTTAATGTCCTTATTGCTCGGGCTGAGCAAACGCAGTGATCTCATTCTGGCCCAATGACGTTAATTATTTTTTTCCCCCTCATTTATTTCAGTTACAAGAGGAATGGGCCTTTATTTTGAAAATTTTCCCCTGCCAGACAATTCTGCACATAGTACTTTGATGCATGACATAAGCTTTTGCACACTATAAAGCTATTAAAGATCCAGAGTTTGGGCTCAGAGGCTTTAAAGAACCTTATGCAGGCTGCACCTTCATCTGCAAATGTATTTTAGCCTTTGCTGCACAGAACTTGTGTGTTTATAAGTCTTATACACTGAGCAGTTAGTTGTTTAAGTGGGCTCCACTGTGCTGTGAAATTAGCTTGTTTCGGATTTTTTTCCGAGCGTGTGTGTATTGAACTCTTTGTGGCAGTCTGAAACCATTAGCAGCTGCTCCACTCTGCCAGAGCCTGCCACAGAAATCACTCGGTGGAAAGATTTAAACCTCATCTTTTCTTTACCGTGCTCCCCTAAATTAGCTTTTCGGGGGGGGGGGGGAAAGAAAAAGAGACAGAACTATTTTCAATTAAAGTGCGATTGGAAGCGCTTGATGTGAAATATGTAGAGGAACATGTGACTTAAGGTATTTTTGCCATAAATCACTTGTCCTTCACTTCCCCCCCCCCCTTCTGTTACCTTTGAATTAATCTGTCTGTTTTTTGACAGGGAATTTTATCTTGAAATGACTGCATGAGTTGTGGAAAAAGTGTTGTGATGCCTGTGTTAGCTAAGTGCTTGCCTCAGGCTTTCCTCACCGCTTCCTGTTAAGTCTTGTCTTTCGAGACATTCAAAACTCTGCAGAAAACTTTTTTTTTTTCCATATAAATGCTGCTACAGGCAAAATCAGATTTTATTTGAAGAAAAAAAAAAAACAACAAGCAAAAAGCTTGGCTCTGGTGGCTCCTTGGTATCTCTTTTTAAGCAAAAGCAAAGCAAAATCAACCCTGTCCTGCATCGATGGTCTGAATTTCTCTGTTTCTGGTCAGAATTTCTGTGTTTTGAGGGTCCTGGAGATTGAATTTTAAATGTAAATGCAGTCTGATGTCAGTTGTTTAAATGTTTTCCCTTGCTAATGGTGCAAGAAGAGGACAGTTAAAAGTGCCTGTACTGATTCCAGTTCCACTAATGGTTTGAAGCGGAAACCTAAAACCTGGTGTAGTAATTACCGAAAGGAATGCTTGGGGGTGGGGGCGCCGGGAAAACCGAGCCTGAATCTTGGGAAAACGTGCGATTTAGGGAAAGGCGGATTCCAGCTTCAGCCAGGGCTTGTCTGCCCTCACTGGAACGCTCAGCGAGGGCTGAGCTCCGACCACATCTCATCTCCTGCCCTTGTGGGGCCGGGAGGGGGGTCCTGGACCTGGGCGGGGGTCCCGGAGGAGTTGGAGCAGTGTCACGGTGACAACCCCGCCCGCCGAGCACGCTCGGTTCTTTTTATTCCTGCTTAAATCAGTAGGTGGTATGACAGTTCCTTAGAAACAGTGGAAACAGTTCAAGGGGGTATTTTCCAAGAGGGATTAGGAGCACTCAAACAGTTAATTAAACTCCTTAAAAAATATAAAAAAAATAAATAAAAAAGAAAAAAAAAAGAAAAAAAAAGAGTTGCTGTTTATTAAAATTTGTCACAAGCCCGTGAAAGTAAAAACTGGGAATGATTTATCCTGAAGTGCTCAGTACTTCAGGAGGGTGTCTAAATGAAATGCTGGCCGGGGGCCAGAGATGACAAAACGGTCCTATTAGAGAAGATTGCTTGGCTCGGGCTCAGGCTCTGCTGGGGCAGCGGCACCGGGACAGCCTCGCTGGGTTCCCAGGATGGTTAATAAAATGCACATTTTGGCCAAGTTGAGCGACCCAGATGTGTCCTTCCTGCGAGACACAGGCGGCTGCAGTCGTACCTCGCACCTCGAGCACTGCAGGCTGGGAGAGGGTCTCACCACAGCCAAGTTTTTCCACTATCTCAAGTTTTCTGTGCCAGTTTCCCTTGTTATTTGCCCAGTGTACTGTAAATTGCCAGCATAACCCACCCTAAACCCATCTGTGCAGCAGTTCCGTGTTTAGGCTGCTGTTGAATTTAAATGCACAGATGTGGACACTTGGATGTCTGTTTTTTGAGTTTAGTGAGTTCTGGCTTTTGTAGAGAAGGATTTTTTTTTTTTTTTAAATCAATTGCCAATAGTGAAAAAGACTCACTTTTATTCATCAAAAGGTTCTTCTAATTCTCAGTTTCGCAAGATAATGTGAATCTTATAGAACCAGGGAATGGGTTGGGTTAGAAGGTACCTTAAGGAGCATCTAGTTCCAACCCCCTACCATGGGCAGGGATGCCACTCATAGATCATGGTTTCAGCTAAGTCCATAAACAGTTGCTAAAGACTTCTGTGCTAACAGAAGAAGCTGCACTGGGTAGAGAAGGACCCTGCAATACACGTGTCCCTACTTCTGGCTCACGGGAGTAACTGATCTGCAGTTGATTTATTTTTTCTCCCCCCCCACAGGTACGAAGCAGTGGCACCTGATAAATCACCTGCAGCCTGAAACTTCTTATGACATTAAGATGCAGTGCTATAACGAGGGAGGGGAGAGCGAGTACAGCAACGTGATGATCTGCGAGACCAAAGGTGAGGCCGCGGGGCTGAGCCCCGGTGGCGTTTGGGGCGCGAAGTGCCCGCCGCGGGGAATTCTTTGGGCAGCTCCGAAAGTCAGCTGCGATGATGACTGCGATTTTCTGGAATGTTTCGGAGGATTGTTTTGTCTTCCGAAGCCGAGATTGTTTTGAACATATGGAAAGTGATCCCTTGCACTCCTCCCGAGGCTCTCGGCGGAGCTGTGCGGCTTTGCCTGCCCTCGGAGATAGCGCCGGCTCTGGGGTGCTGATGGCCTCTCCTCAGGAGACAACCATGCGCCTGAAGATGACAGAATTGATTTGTACGTCTGTTTTATGTCTTCGGGGCTCTGTGACACGTTGTATAAGTGCAGACCACAGCAATTGATGGTTGTGTTGGCTGCCTCCATCCCTAATCCTGCATGCCTCTGGCACAAAGTTTGTACTGTTCTTGGGAAGTGTCAGATATGGCAGTCACATTTATTTTGCGAAGGATTCCTGTCTCCTTTAATCTCTAAAACCAAGTAAGGCTGTAAAGGGAAAATGCAGACAGTAAACTTCAAATGCAGTGCTATGAAAAAATGTCTTAAAAAAAAAAAAAAAAAGAAAAAAGCCCTCTGGGAGCGGAAGCATCAAAATTCAGTGAAGTGAGTAGTGAAACCTTTGAAGGAAGGAGTAGGAGCTGCAGGGCTTCAAGACTGTGTGCACAGTTGTTCTCCCTCCTGCAGGGAATATAACTTTCTTCTCTAATTTTAAAATTGACAAGATGTATCTGTCATTCACGCTGCCTCTTCCTTAAAATGCACCTCCCCCAGGCTTATAGGGGTGATCCAGTTTATCCAACATACCTCCAATGGAGGTGCTTTTGTCTCTCTGACCAGCTTCACTCCTAAACCAGGCACCTCTTTTAGGTTTTTAGTGTCAAATGAAATGAATCTAAGCTGTGGTGTGCTGGAAACTAATGTAAATATAATTCCTGGGTTAAACTACCCTCTCGTTTTTAGGGATTTTCTGCTCAGCTCTTGGTGAGGTTTGGAAACGGGGTTAGGAGGGTTCACATCAGATAAAAGTAGGTCATCTGGCAGAGGCTGGGCGAGAGAAATGCGTGTTGTGGTTTTTCCTGACCTCAGAAGTGGAAAGATTTGCGCTCTTTCAAGTTGGGAGTTAGAGCAGTTGTAGCCATGCGGACCCCGAGCGGCTCATTAAAGTTTCAGTGACCTCAAAGAGGGGGTGAGCAGGCAGGATAATCACCGTTTTCCAAGGCAAATAGCTATTACCCAATAGCAGTTGGCCTTCTCCTTGTAGGATTTAATATTGACTTGGAAGCTTTCTTTGCGAGGCATTAGGACTTGAACTCGGCGGCGATTATTTTTGTTCCGTAATGAAAAAGAGCACTTAGAAAAAACACGTCGGGTGAGTGTGCCCATGCCTGTCTCTCTGCTCATCCAGTGAAACGCACGCCGGGAGCGTCGGAGTACCCGGTGAGAGACCTGAGCACGCCGCCGAGCCCCCCGGAGCGGGCGGGGGGCGGCGGGGCCGGGCCCGCCAGCGGCCCCGTGCGCAGCAGCGACATGCTCTACCTGATCGTGGGCTGCGTCCTGGGCGTCATGGTCCTCATCCTCATCGTCTTCATCGCCATGTGCCTGTGGAAGAACCGGCAGCAGAGCGCCCTGCAGAGTGAGTGGGGGCCGGCTCCCTTCCGCGGCAAAAATATTGTCAGGAGTGAAATTAGTAACGCTCCTGCTGCATTTTATGGGTGGGAAGCGCCTTCCTGCTAGGAGCCAGCTGGCATTTCTGTTGAGGCTTGCACTTCTAAGTGTGCCCTAGGTGCAGATTTGGGTTTTTAAGAGTCTCCATTGCTTTTTGCACTGGTGCTCCCTGCCCTGCTGCATCCCCGGAGGGTCGTGCTGCAGTTTCACCCAGAGAATGGTGTGGGAAAGGCCTGGGTAAAGTTTCTGCAGCTTGTGTTTAACTTTAAGCCCCTACCTAGGTCTCTGCTGATTGCAGAGGCAGAGCCTGTGTAATTGTAAGTACCTGTTAAATGTGGAGAGTTAAACCCTGGATCTCTCCTTTTCTTAGGTGTATCTGGAAAGAACAAATGTGCAGCACTAGGACAAGTCCCTTATTACCTCTCAGTCCCTGCACAGTGAGATGGCATTCAATGGCCAGGTCTGTCAGAGAGGTGTTAATCAGGCAAACCTGTTCATTAGCCCCTGGAGCAGGAGCTTTTCAAGGTGCTCTGCACCAACCAACAACCTGGTGCCAGCAGAATCTCTGGACTGGCCTTTTCTGTTCCTTGTGCATAAATCAGCCTTGCTCTTGCCATGGCTTGTGGTTATTTTTAAATGTCCTTACTCTCTGACAGAGAGAAATGAAACAAAACTTCTTGCAAGATAAGATAGTGCCTTCAGCTGCAGCCCAGAGAGATTTTTGGGAAGCAGCTCATAGTAGATGGCAGAGGGGCTATCGATGATAAAAATGGCCCATTTGTAGGACACTCTCATAGAGATTGATGTCAGCCAAGTCCTTCCAGACCAACATTCCTGGTCTGCTCTCCAGGATGTGTCTGTTTTCCATGTCTGTGCTTGTATACTAAGCACTCGGATATCAGAGTTAGTTCACAAAAGCTGCAGGAAGACAAAATAAGCTTCTTTGTTTTTTAGGGACGCTCCTTTAGCTTCTCACAAAGGTGCCTTCAGCAATAATGTCTTTTGCAGAATACGACCCTCCTGGGTACCTGTACCAGGGGACGGATATCAACGGGCAGATGATCGAGTACACGACCCTGCCCGGCACGAGCCGCGTCAACGGCAGCATCCACGGGAGCTTCCTCGGCAACGGCCTCGGCAACGGCTGCCCCCACCTCCACCATAAAGTCGCCAATGGAGTCAATGGGATCATGAATGGAGGAGCAGGACTGTACCCAGGGCACACCAACTCCCTGTCCAGGACACACGTGGACTATGAACACCCCCACCACCTCGTGAACGTAAGCTCCTGCACCGGGTGGGAGGCTCAGCGCAGACCTTGGGGTTTATTCAGGGGCTGTGCAAGCAGATTTAATTCGGGTGGGGGAATACTCATCCGTTGATAACAGCCAGTTCCACTGAATCCTTCATCCCAGAGGAAGCAACTGGGCTGATATTTGTGATACAAACATCATGGTTTTCATTTGAGGATATCAGATGACAGCAAGAATTCCACTTACTCTGGGAAATCTGCCTCTACCCTCCTCCTAACAGCATGTAAGCTCTGAGAATGCCTCAGTGCTGGGCTGAGATCCTTTGCTCGTACATATGGTATTTCTCAATCTCCAAGTTAAATAGATTTAATTATAGCTGCTTATTCTGCAGCTTTATGGATCACCCGTTTTTCCCCCACCTGTTTCAGATCTGTAACTCTGAGCAATGCTATTAATTATGGCAAAGCACGAATGGAGCAGGAGGTTCCATGGAATGAAGTGCCCCATACATCTTGAACTGCAGCAGTGCAATAACGCTGCTGCTTTTTTTTTTTTTGCAGTCCCCTGTTTGTGACTGTTGAGACAGGCTCGTTTTTTGTTTTGAAATTGAAAATAAAATTAAAAACTAATTTCAGTCTGCGATCCAGCCTTTGTATGCTGTGGAAAAATACTTCATTTGCTGAAACGTGTCCCGTTTCCAAGAGAGAATAATGATTTCATTATTGTCTATGGAAACAGATGGCTTGCATTCAAACTTACTAAACTTACTCAAAACTGTGAACATTGCCCAGGAAAACTGAAAGAAAAAGTTCAAAAGTCTGAATAACCCATGCTGTTTCTGGAGAAAAAAAATGGGCCTATTGTTTGTGTTGGTAATTGAGCACAAGCACTTCTTTTTATTGAACAACAAATTAGCACTTGCACAGTAGTTGCCACTTCAGTTCCCTCCAGTTTCAGCCCAGACCTGTCAGTTTTTCACCTGATTCTGTCCTTGGCCTGCCAGAAGTGCCCATTTTTGGCTGTTTTCAAGAGCACCCGAGGCCCAAACTGGGTTTTTTTGGACCTGTCCAACCTCCCAGTGGGTGAAACTCTCCAGAAGTCTCCAAGCCCTCAGGGAGAGAACATTTGTGGTGCTCGAAAGCTCGCCTGTGAGAAAGCCTGGGGGCTTGCATTGATGTTTTGTCCCTCCTATTTTTATTTTTTGGGGGGCTGGGGGAAGCTCGCCTGTGAGAAAGCCTGGGGGCTTGCATTGATGTTTTGTCCCTCCTATTTTTATTTTTTGGGGGGCTGGGGGAAAGAAGGAAATACATGTGTGGTGACAGAGGTCTCGGTGCTTGGAGCTCCTCCGTGCCACAGGCTGTCCACACAACGCCGCTGTCTGTAGGTGACAGGGATGAGTTTTTTGTTCCCCACACTCCTCGGTGTAGAAAGTTTGAGTCACAGGATCTCTGCCCACAGAGAAGGCCCTGGACTGGCACGTGGGCGAGGCAGCGCAGGGGAACAGGATGTTCTCATCCTCGTTAGGCCGCTCTTCATTGTTTCAGTGATTGGGCTAAATGAGGAAGGGAGAAGCTGGCCAGGATGGCAATCAAGATTAATTAGGCATTTCCTCAGTGCTCCCTATCCTTCGAAAACTTCAGGGTAAGCCCTGTTTGTGCAAAAATAGGGGTTGTTAGAAGTTTCCTACCACTTGAACTGCCAAAAGCCAGGTGAGTCTTCCCGGCCCGGCTCCCTGGAGCCCGGCACAGCAGCCTGGCTCCGCACCCCGCTCCCAGCGGCTCCCGCATCACTGTCCGCCCGGTCCCTAACAATGAGGTATGTGTTAATCTGGGCATTTCGACTGGCTTGTAATGGCCCCCTCAGCCAAAACCAACAACACAAAATCCCTCGCACCCCGAGTCATTGCTGGCTGAGGAATTACCCCATCTGTACAAATACGAAACGGCTCAAAAATCAGTGTAGCGAAGTAAACTGATCTAATCGGAGTAATTACAGGAAAGTGGGATGGGTTTGTGTGTGACATCAGCCCTCCAAATTTAATCCCCTGTCTCCCCAAACGAGCCCGGTGTGCTAACGAATGGCAATTCGTTTTCGTGTCTGTCATCAGCGTTAAAAATAAACATATTTACAGTGTGTTTATTAAATTAAACCTCAGCATATTAAGCTGAAAACAGACCAGGGAAATGACCACATACTTGTCTAAGCTGCAGTTATTTACTTTTCCCTGACACACACGCTGGCAAAGCCCTCCCCTGGCCTTTGGACAATCGCTCAGTGTTGCCGTGCCGTGTTTGGCCCAGAGCGGGGCATTGATAAGGTGGCTGGACTGGGAAAACCAAGTCAAGGAGCTGAGCTGCCTCCTCAGCGCCTCTCTTAGATGTTCTGATAGTGATCTGATTTCTAAGGATTTACTGTTAATCCCTCCTGCTGCAGGGTGGCGGGATGTACACGGCCGTGCCGCAGGCTGACCCCTCGGAGTGCATCAGCTGCCGGAATTGCCGGAACAATAACAGGTGAGGAATGGCCTTGCACCAAGGCAGGACCTGCACCAAGGCAGGACCTGCACCAAGGCAGGACCTGCACCAACAGCAGCCCTCGCTCTGCTCTGTGGTGAAGCTGGGACTGGCAAAAGCCGGGAGCTGAAGTTCTGGCCCAGGGCACGAGGAGCTGCGTGTCATGGGATGGCTCGGAGAACAGTTGGGAATTGTCCGTGGGATGGCATAAAACAAGTTGTTAAACCCCCCAGAGCTTGCTTTGCTCAACACGCTCCTCCGAGGCTCTCCAGGAAGCAAAGCAGGTTGAGCACTGGATTTTTTAAAAATCCTTATTTCCTGTGTTTTCTTCAGCTTTGAGATAACAAGATCATTCCATGTGGAGTTTGTCAAATCGGATTTAATTGGTCTTCTGCATTTTACACTTCCTGCCATTCCCTTAAGAGCACCGACCAACTGCAGTTGCCCCTTTTCCTTCACAATGCTATTCTTTGTAAAACATGGGATTTGGGGTTCTTCAAGGCCTTCAGGAGCAGTTTGGCCAGCAATTGTCAGTGTGGGATAGGATTTTTTCATGGGAAAAAGGATTCTTGTATAGAATAAGGGAAAATCTGTATTCTATGTTGTATCTGGGAGTCAGGAACCTAATAAAAATCATTAGGTTTTTCACTTTTGGAAGTTTTAATGAATATTCTTCCAGGCTTCTGACTAAATCTCTGGTTATTTTAATGACTATAAATAGGACTGAAAGTCAGACAAGCTGGGCTACTCTGACTGGTAAATTCTGGGCTTTTTTTTCAATCATACTTTGATTTTTCCGTATTGTTAAAATGCTCAGCTGCCTTTAGGTGTACATCTGGAGAAGCTGAGTTGAAACGAATCACTGAATCATTGAATATTCTGAGTTGGACCCACAAATAACGTCGAGTTCAACTCCTGTTGGACAAATAAGCTGTTGTTGAAGGCAAAAATCGCGTTCACTTTATTTTCACGGGTTTACTTTTTAAATGTCACTTATAATAGGCCTTAAATCCTTCCCCCTTCCATAAATGTATGCGTGATAGTGTAATGTTGACGAGCTGCTGCTTGCACGTGGAGCTGGGCACGCTTTGCCTGGACCAGTGTCCCGACAGGTCTCCAGGGAAGCCCAGCACGTTCCCTCACACACCAGTTGTGTGTTTTCCAGCAGGCTCTGCAGCAGCTCTCACCAGGATGTCTGTGACTCGCCGTAATTTGGAACATGCCATATGTGTTACGCTGTAATTAAGAGCTTGCGTTCCAGTTTTAAGCACATTTAATTTTTTACTTGCTCCCTTTTTTTTTCCCCTAAGAAAGCAGGGAGTGGGTTCCATCCTCTGCAACTGCACTGCTCCTCCCAGACAGGTCATCAACGGGGCCTGAACTTTGAGTTTTCACATCCCCCTTCTATATTTGACTGCTTGATAGAGAAACAACTTGTCCCTTACAGCTGCCTTTCCCCGGAGGGGACCATTAACCTCTGCTCTGGCGCTGGGGGAATGGGAGGAGGACATGGGAGAGGGGAATGGGGACGGACCAGAACGTGCCTGAGCATTCCACCAGGGAGCTGGGTGTATGGCCAGGGCGAGGAGGAGGAGGAGGAGGAGGAAGGCCTGGTGTGTTAGTGCAGTCATGTCAGTAGGCTTTGGCAAGTGGGGTTTTGGGGCTGGAGCCTTTTCCTCATTTTTATTTAACCTCGTGGCTCAGGTAAGGGCTGTTCCCTCCACCTGGGCTCCTGTTGGTGGAAAGAGAACCTGTTCCTTGTCCCACCCTGGGATCACTGCACCTTTTGTGCTGGAAAAGGCAATTCCCTCTGCAGCCCAGGAGGTTCAGGTGGCAGTACCTGTAGCAGGGCAATGTCTCCAGCTCAGGAGCATTGTGGGTGCACGTGGCCTTGGCACCACAAATTCCTCACTGACCCATTTCCACTGTTTTGGGTTGAATTTAGCAGTTATTTGAGTTGTGACCAGGTGCAAATGAATCCTAGAGGTTCAATGTATTTCATAGCTGTTTTCAGCAATAGCCATCTCGGAGCAGGTTTTATTATTCCAGTGCTGAAATCCCTGGATCTTCTGTTTAAATTAGCACTTTATCCCTCCTAACTGCTCGTGGAGGCTTGCCAGGGGGAGAAGCTGCTGAAACCTGGAGACCTGCTTTGCTTTTGTGGACAAAGCCTGTGGTTGACAGGATTGAGAACTGATCTTTTTTTCTTCCCTGGTGCTTTTGTGTTAAAACTCTTGAGATACCTGGTGGCTGCAGAGGAATTTACACTTCTGCAGATCCCTCTTTGCAAATTCACTGTGTTTTGATCAGAAATGCGAAATGCGTGTTTCAAATGTATCAGTTTGTTTGCCCGGTGTTTTCATCTAAATTATGCTTTGTTTAGGTTGTGGTTTGGTAGGGGTTTAGCACTGAGAATTGATAGAAAATGTGTTTTCTGCAGCAGGGATTTTACACCACTCGTCCTGCACACTCTGCTCAGGATATCCCCATGGCTAGTTTCCATCACAGTGTGGTTATTTAAGCTTAAAAAGCTGAACTGCTGTCTGGAAACATCCTTCAAGTCCATACAATAATACAGAGAACTACACCAACCTCTGTATCTTTAAGAAGAACCCCCAGAAACATGTAAACCCAAACATTTTAAATGGGTTTCTCTGAGCTTTTTTTTCCAAATAATAAGTGAGTGCAGTCAAAACCTCTGCGGAGAGAAAGGCAAACTAATAAATGGATTTGTTTGAAGACCAGATGTGTTTCATGTGGATTCTTCAGTGGCTTCTGTGGTATTTTGGTACTTGGAATAATGATTTTGGAGGCAGTTACGGGAGCAGAAGGACAAAATAGGAGAGAGAAGGTTGAAAATGAAGCTTGGTGCTGCTCCATCCTCATGGCTTTTGGGAGGGGAGCAGGCTCTGGAGGGATGCCCCTTGTCCCCTGATTTGGCTTTGCACATGAAGCTTCTGCAGGAGGGGGAACTCTCACCAGTTCCTCCTCTAGGAAGTTTATTTGTGGTGTTGTTGGATGTTTTGTTGCTCTTTCAGTTTGGGCAAAACTGATCACGGGTTTTGTTCAGGTTTCAGGTGTGAATTGAAGCTCCTGTAGGGCAGGTCCCTGCAGTGTGATGTTTTTATGCGTTGCACTGACCTTTTTAAAGGCATAAAAGTGGTTTCTGGGACTTGGGCAGGACCTTGCTGTGACTGCCAGGCTTCATGTATCCCAGTTTTAAACCTGTCTGAGCTCAGTGCTGAGGTGCTCAGGGCTCAACTGCTGTTGGAGGTGGCTCTGCTGGCTGCTGCCCTGGCACTGCTGACATTCCAGTCCATATTCCCCTCCTCTTCCAGCCATATTTCATCAGCCCTGCTCAGTTTTGGGCCAGAGTCACTGTGGAGCAGCACACCAAACCAGCACCCAAGCAGCCAGGTCCCAGGGAGCAATTTTTATACTTCCAGATGCCAGGCTCAGGCAGCCCCAGGGATAACCTACAGCAAGTGCACTGGGCTGGTCCCTGTCAGCAGAGCAGGCAAGGGATGGATTTACACTTGGTAGGAAAGAAGAGAGGATGCTCAGAGTTGTACCTGTATCAGCACATGAAAACCTGAAGCCTGTTCAGCCTTTGTGGGAGCGTTTTGGAGGCTCTCTGGTGGGTGTGAACGCTCTCCATCCTTATTTCCATGCTTTTATCCGTGGATCCATCTCTGTCTTGCGCCGCACAACAAGGAAGAGTTTTGGGGGGTAGTTTCCCAAAGTTTGTGGCAGCTGTACAAGTAAACCTTTTCCTTTTGGGGTAATTATGGTTTTGTCTAAAACCACACTGAAGTGGAATATTGGGGGAGGGGCTTTCTTATGTAGGAATTACGTATATAAATGTTCCCTGAGGCCACGTTGTCCACATTGCAAACACTGAGGCGTTTTCCCTGCCTGCTGCAGTGGTACATGTATCAAAGTCCTGCTCCTTTTTGGTTAAAGCTTAAATACCTCAGCTGTAACAGTTGATTCGCCACTTTAGCTTCAATTCCACAGCCTTACAAACACATTACAGGGCCACAGCCTGACTTGCACAGCAGAAGAGGGTGTTAAATTTATAATCTTGCATCTATTTTTTAATTTGCGTTCTCTCTGATAACACTTAGTATTAATTTTCCAAGGTGCTTAAGTTTGCTGCTCGCGTTTCAAAATTTGAGCTCTTTATCTTGGCAGCGAAAATGTGTTTTATGGGGTTGCTTTGATGGAGAAGTGGACTCACAAGTCAGGTCATTGGGTCACAATCGATGGGGGAAGGAACTGAGCGTGTTTCGAGTGTTTTCAGCTGTCTGTTGGGAGAAAAAAAAACCCACTCGGTGCTTTTCTTAACGTCAGGATTGCTCCAAAAATATATTTAAAACTGATTTTACTTTTGACACGTGGTAAAGCACTTAAAAGTTGCATTTTCTCAAGATAAGGCGGGGGGGGGGAGGAGAAAGAAGCCACTCTGAGTAACCGCGGCCTCTGTCCCGCCTGCAGGTGCTTCACCAAAACCAACGGCACCTTCGGCAGCGCCGCCCTGCCCGTGGTGCCCCTGGGAGCCCCTTTCCAGCAGGACGGTGTGGAGATGAAGCCCCTGAGCCCCCACGTCATGGTGGCCATGTGCTTGGCCTCTGCTGTCCCGGAGTGCAGTGCCCGGCTGGAGGAGGACGGCAAGGAGGGCTCGGAGCATCCCTCCCCCCAGCACCCCTGCTGCCAGGAGGGCGTGGGCCGGCTCTCCGTGGACTGCATGGACGGTGAGGCAACCCCGGGGAGGAGAGCACCTGGCTTTGGGGCCGGGAGTATTCTGTAGGACAGCTGTAGGGTGCTTAATTGATCGTGGAGAAGCTGGTAATTAAGCCCACAAAAGAGCTGGCTCTTTGAGGGAGGTTAAGCGTCCCCGCCTTGTGCCTGGTCCTGTCATGTCCTTGTGATTGATGCCTCTAAACGGGGCTCATCCAGCACCTAACGAGGCTGTGACTGATTGATGCTGCCCCCACGGGGCACCAGTGGGCTCTGACACTGCTGAAAAGCTGCCTAATGGAGTTTTCCTTAATGAGCAGGCATTCCTGAGGGCCCAGAGCCATCCTGGAGGCAGGAACAGGCGCAGGGAGGGAGCTGGGCTGACCTCACCGGTGTGAGCTGTTCCATAGCTCTGCCAGTGCCAGGACAGAGCCGATGCCCTGTGCTTGTGCCTGGTACAGTGGGAATGAGCCTGAGCCCAAAGAGCATCACCCCCTGGAATTAGGAATTTTGGGGGCGTGTGTGCCTGTTGAGCTGACGGAGAGTGTCTGCTGAAAGAAACCACCACCAACCACCCGCCCTGCTCTTGCTTCGCAGGCGACAGCTGCGTGCACTCGGAAACATCGAACCACATTCTGAGCTGGAGTCCCCTCATTCTGCAGCCTGTTTCCAAGGACTGTAAGGAAAAACCAGGATGGAGTTCATCCGGAGTCACCTTAAACGGTTCTGGGGACCTTCGGCAGCTCCAGCTGCGGGAAACCTGAGGAAGTGACCGTTGTCCCCACTGAACGCCAGGAACTGCCAGTGTCGCTGAGAGGGAGTGACGGGGGGATGTTAATTATAACAGAGAGAGTCACTATTTATTTTTTGTAGTAGTGTCATATGAATGTATCTTGGTTTTCAAAATGGTTGCCTTTTTATATTATTTATGCCTTGAAATCCCTTTTTGTTTTTTTTTTTTGTGGTTTTTTTTTTTCCCCCCTCACACGCCGCGAAACTAGCCCTGGTTATGTGTATAAAAAAGAATTGTAATAATATAAAGAACGAGGATGGGAAATGTGGAGTGCGTTTCCGTGGCATGTTACCAGTGTGAGAAGCACTTCCGAGGAGCCCGGGACAGGGATTTGAGCAGGTCTGATGTGGTGACCAATGGCTGCCACCTCCCTGGCAGCTCGGCGACGTGGTACTCAAACCATCCTTTCCATGAACACATCCCATCCTCTTTTGGTTTCTCTGGGAAGATCTCAATGGGAAAATGAGAAAATAAATAAGAAAAATCACCCTCAGCTGAGTCCGTCCAGCGCAGCTGAAGCAGATCTTGGGTCGGTGACTGTGTCTTCAGATGCTTGATAACCCTTCTGTCTGCAGAAGTACAGGGGGAAATCCAGCCTGTCTCACCTTGCCGCTCACAGAAGACAAAATCCAGTTCTACTCTTGCTTTGAGGGAGTACTGACAGCTTGGATAGCTCCGAAATGAAAGCAGTGGTGTCGGAGCAGCTCCCACCGGCCCCGCGCGTGGCTGTCAGGAACCCACCCGCCCCGGACACAGCACGATGGAGGTGTTGCAACCTTAACTGCAGGGTTTGGGTAGGTTTTTTTTTTTTCTTTTTCCTTTCCAAATTTAATCCCAGAAAATGAAACAACCTTGTGCTTGTAAAGCACTCCCTCCCCCACACAACTCAGGAGCTCATGATCCCAGAAATGAGGTGCATGACTTACGGTCACGGCTGCCCCGGGGAGACGCCTGTGCAGCACCTTTGCACAGAGCAGCATGTTTCTGGCCAGGCTGGAAAAGAAGGAGGCTGTGCTGGCCTGGCTGTGGCTGCTCCAAACCCCTCGGGGACCTCAGGGCTACAGGTGCAGCTTCACCAGTGGCGGGGTTTGGGGGGCGATGCCTGTGCGAGAAGGGAGCCCTTGAGATCTGCTTTGGCAGCGGTGTCTCCATGGGCTGTTCCAGGTGTGTTGGGGTGGGCTTTTTCCTTTTCATGGAATCCCAGAAGGGTTTGGGTTGGAAAGGACCTTAAAGCTCATCTCGTTCCAACCCCCTGCCATGGGACACCTTCCACTAGCCCAGGTTGCTCCAAGCCCCGTCCAACCTGGCCTTGGACACTTCCAGGGATGGGGCAGCCACAGCTTCTCTGGGCAACCTGTGACAGGGCCTCACCACCCTCCCAGGGAAGAATTTCTTCCTGATATCCAATCTAACCCTGCCCCCTCTCAGTGGGAAAACATTCCCCCTTGTCCTGTCACTGTCTGCCTGCCTGTATAAAAAGTTCCTCCCCCTTTTATAAGCCCCCTTCAGGTACCGGAAGGTCGCAGTGAGCTCTTCCCAAAGCCTTGTCTTCTGTCTTCTCTTTTTTCTCTTTTGTCTTTTCTCCCCTCCCTCCCCTCTCGTCTTGCATTATTTATGGTTGTATTTCTTTTTTTGCCTTTTTTTTTAGGGTTTTGGATCCTCCCAGCCGAAGCTGCCTTATTCTGAAGTTCCCTGCAAACCCTGGACCTCACACCCATGGGTTTTGACTGGCATGTACCCTGGAGCCACCACAGAGCCCCCTCCTCCCCCTTTGTTTATCTCCTCCTTGCAGTCTGGACTTTCCCTTCACAGGACCTCCCCTTTACCATGGAGAGGCTGGAGTTCACCTCTGGCTGCTTCGTCCTCCCCGAACACTGAGATTTAACCACGGTTTTAAACGACCTTGCTTAAATCCCCCCCTGTATCGTGGGTGTGTTGGATAAAGACACTCTGTTTTCCAGAGAATCCGTAATATCCCTTTGAAATGTTATGTATTTGGAAACGATGCTGTTTTGCAGGGGTTTGGGGTAGGGTGTGTATTTTTGGGGGTGATGCTGCTCTTTGGCCAGCATGGGGATTGATGCTCTGTGGGCACTGATTTGAGGTGTCACTCGATACTTCCCAATGGATAATTAACCAAATATAGGACAAATGGCCCAACATGCTCTTGTTTCCACAGACACCAAAAGATGAGGGGTTGAGGAAGGCTGGGAAGTGCCTGACACTTTCCTTAGACCCTGCCTCCCTCCATGCTTGCTTGTGGGGAAAAACCATCACCAGTCACTGTTTTTGTCCTCTTGTGGTTTGGCTCGAAAATGGGGAGCTTGGGGTGAAGATGAGGCCCCTTCCCTGCCCCCCAAATCTTCGTGGCTGTTTTTGCACCACAGAAAATTCAGCACAGTCCCAGAGCAGCATCCCCATCCAACGCCAGCCCTGGGCCTGAGGGGCGGCACTTCGACCCTCAGGGATTTTTTCTGCCATCGGTGAGAAACTATTTATTGTAGCCTAAATATTTATTTTAGCTCCAGCGGTAACTGCAGGCCCGAGGCTGAGCCAGAGGGGCTTTCTCCGGGTGCGGCACTCGGAGCCAGCTGCCTCCCAGCCTGACGTGACACAGGTGGGTGGGCGCTGCCGTCCCCTGGTGTGGGACGAGAGGAGCAAAGGGAAATAAAGGGGAAAAAGCCGGAGTGGTCACGGCGTCGCCGTCGCGGTGATGGTGACATCAGCTGGTGGGTCATCAGTGGTGCCTGGCGGTGCCGAGAGCGGCTCTGCAAGGGGTGGGAGAGCCCCGGTGCCACCAGGTGTCACCGGGGCGGGTGGCTCAGCCCTGGGCTCGCCCCAGGGTGCGGGTACCTGCTGCTGTGCTGGGGGCAGGCGCTTCTCCCGGTGCTGGTGCTGCCTCCTCCTCCCCGCTCGCGGCTGCTTCAGCATCCTCCGGCGTGTCCACGGGTTCCTGGGCGCCAGGACCGGCCCTGGGGGAGGGACATGCGGGGTCTCGCTGGCGCCAGGGCGGGGGGAACAGCGGGGCAGAGGGATTTGGGCACTCACGTGCGGAAGAGCAGGTCGTGCAGCCCTGGGGAGACAGAAAGACGTGAGGTGTGGGGATCAAGGCTCCAGCCCACAACCCCCCCAGGGCTGGCACTCACGTGGGAGAGTCTCCCGGTGGCGGGCGATGCAGCGCACGGCCAGGAGTGACGCTGCGGTGGCCACCAGCATCCCGGCCACCGCCGCCCCCGTCACCGCCGGGTAGGCCTCGAAGGGAGGCTCAGCTGGAAGAGAGCAGAGAGAGTATGGCAGGCAGCAGGGACGGGCAGAGCCCAGAAACGCCGGGGACCGTGCGAGGCTGTGCCTGTTCGCTCTGAAAACCTACTGACGGCTGCTCGCACTCAGCTCCTCAGCTCCACCAGGATGGAAACGTTGCCCTTCTCCACTCAAACCCTGCTCTGCCCCCATGGAACGGCAGCCCCTGCCCACTTCACCTGGCGTCTGCACCTCGGAGGGGTGCCCGGCCGTGCGGTGGTTGACGGCCAGGACGCGGAAAGCATAGAGCACCGCGGGGTCCAGCCCCCCCAGGCGCCGGTCGCGGGAGTGGGGCTCGATGTTGCCAGCGGCCGTTTCCCAGGGGCTGGGCGCCTCTCGGAGGGGTTTCTTGGTTTGGCGCCGCTGCACCATGAAGCCGGTGAGGTTGCCGGTGCCCTGCGTCCGCCACTCCAGCTGCACCTCGGTGCGCGCCCGCGTGTAGCGCAGCTTGCTGATGGTGACGTTGGGGGGGGCCGGGTACCCTGCGGAGAGATGGCACCCGGCAGGAGGGGGCTGACGCCCCCAGCCCACCTTGGGGGACCCCTCTAGCCCTGCCAGGACTCACGGTCCACGCGGAGGCGGACGGGGAGGCTGGCGGTGCCCACGGAGTTGGTCGCGGTGCAGCGGTAGATCCCGCTGTCCCCCGGCCACTCGGCATCCAGGACAGTGAGGTTGAGCCACGCTTCTCCCTGCTCCAGCCGGTACTTGGCCAGCCCCTGTGTCACCTCCCGCTCCTTGGGGTCGTACCAAGCCACAGTGGCACTGAGCCTGGCGCTGGTGCCACGTTGCCGGCAGGTCAGCAGCGCCTCGCCGCCCTCCAGCACCGCCACCTCGCTCGCCGCCTCCAGATCGGGGACCTCTGCTCGGCGAGAAGGGAGGACAGTGTGGGCAGGGACGTGCCACCCCAACACTCCCGCTGTGGCACGGTGGGAGCACCGGGGACGGGTCTGGCTTACCCAGGCGCAGGCGGCAGTCGGGGCCGGGGGCCCGCAGCGGGTGGGCGGCCGCGCAGACGAACTCCCGGCCCCCAAGGCTGCCCTCGGTGCTCAGCACCAGGACGGCGGTGGAGGGTGTGGGGTCCCCCAGGGCCCGGCCCCCACCGTCCCTCCACTGCAGGGTGACGGGGGGCGTGCCCCCCTCCCACCGGCACTGCAGCATCACGTACTCGTCACCCTTGGTGGCCGCTGCCGCGCAGGTGGGGCTGCCCGGCGGGACCCCTGCGGGATGGAGCGGTGTCGGGGCGGGGCACTGCCGCGCTGTGCCAAAGCACCGCCAAAAAGCAGGTACCACCACCACCCTTCAAGGGCGTGGGGGGCTTTTGCACGGCTTTGCACCGTGAGGACCCCCATTCTGGAGCAAGCTGGGGGTGCTGGATGTCCCAGCAAAGGCAACAGCACCCTGGGGTGCCCATCCCGTGGTGTGGCCATGGCACGGGGTCACCACGGCTCTGGGGTGACACGGGGGGTCAGGAAGGGGCTTGGGGGGCAGATGGACCCATCGTCACTCACACAGGGTGGTCCCACATGCAGCCCCCTGCGGCAGCGCGGGGTGGGAGGCCAGGCAGGAGAAGGAGCTGCCATTCCTTGTGGCTACCCCTGGCTGGATCCTGGTGGCCATGGAAAAACTGGTCCCCATCACTCCCTCTTCCTCCTCCTCCTTCTCCTCCTCAAGGGAGCCCACCCAGCGCAGCTGGGCAAGGGGGAAGCCCCCCAGCCAACGGCACCGCAGGGCCACATCCTGCAGGTCTCCTGTGGCCAGGGCAGAGCAGCTGGGGCTCCCGGCTGGTGGATCTGCAGGAGACCATCAGCGCTGGGGGAGGCTGGGGGCTCCCCCCAACCCTCCTCGAACTGCCCCTCACACCCACATCCTCACCAGGGAGCTGCGTTGGTCCATCTCACCCCGGGGGGCCCCGCCGGCCCCCCCTCTGCGGGGTTACTTACAGTACACGGTGAGGACGATGGTGGCCTGGGTGCGGGTCTGCAGGTGGGTGTTCTCGGCCAGGCAGGTGTAGGTGCCCGCCTGGGCGCGGGCGATGGCGGCGATGACGTAGGTCTGGCCAACGTGCACCTGGGTACCGTTGTGCAGCCAGACGTAGCGGCTGGGGGGGTTGGAGGGCGCCAGGCAGCTCAGCACCACATCCTCCCGCTCGCCCGCGGAGAAGCCCCCCTGTTCGGGGGAGAAGGGCTCCACGCTGATGGCCGGCTCGTCGGGGCCGTCTGCAGGCACACAGGGGTCCTTTAGCCACGGGGTTGTCCCCACAGAGGGGACACAGCCCTCCCCGGGGCATCCTCCTCTTGGTGGGAAACGGGGCAGCTAAGCCTCCTTAGAAAGGGCCCAGTTATGGGGGTTGGTGGCCAGGGACATACTGTGGTGCTTGGTGGCCACAGATGTGCCATGGTGGCTTTGGAGGTATGGAGGTAGCAAGGTGCATGGTTGTCATGGACACGCCTTGGTAGCATGGCACACGGTGGTCACACAGTGGCCATGGCAGCCATGAAGGTGTCACGGTAGCCATGGACAGGCTATGGTGGCCATGGACAGGCTATGGTGGCCATAGAGGCATCATGGTGGTGGGGCGTACAGTGGCCAGGAATACATCACGGTGGCAACATGCCACACCATGGTAGCCATAGACACATTATGGTGGCCGTAGAGGCATCCCAGTACGTGATGTCCATGGATGCGCCATAGTGGTTATGGATGCACCATGGTAGCTATGGGTGTGCCACAGTGGCAGGGTGCTTGGTGGCCATGGCCATGCCATGGACATACCATGGAAGCATCGTGATGGCCACAGACATGCCATGGATGTGCCATGTTGGCATCCCCAGCCCCGAAGATGCCCCCCCAGCTGGTGGCTGAGGCCCCCCATGAGGGCGGTGCCCAGGCACTCACAGACGATGTCCAGGTAGACGGGCTCGCTGGTGTGGCTGTTGACCTCGTTGCTCGCGGTGCAGAGGTACCAGCCCGTGTGGCTGCGGTTGGCGGGCGTCAGGCTCAGCTCTGCCCCGGAGCCCCTCAGCCCCACGGGGGACACTGAGGGACCCCCCCGGGGCTCCTGGTGCTGCCAGGAGAAGCTCAGCGGCTCCGTCCCCTCCCGCACAGTGCACGTCAGGGCCACCGCCGCCCCCTCTGCCGCCGCCGCCGCCGTCGGCCGCACGAAGGGCTTGGAGACGGGCACTGGGGACACAGCTGTGAGCAGCCCCCACAGACAGAAGGGCCCCTTCAGGGCCCTCCTGTCCCCCCCTCCCAGACTGGATGATTGAACAACTGGTGCTGCAGCAACCAGTAGGATGGCTAGTGAGGACACCTATGGGCTAGTGAGGGGCATCCTGGCTGTGGGCGTGGGGACTGGGTGGAATGGCTGCTGAGACCAGTTAAGGATGGTGGGCTGCTGGGGTGGCCAGGGCAAGGAAATGGGGGTGGCTAGTGGGCTGCTACATTGGCTAGTTGGGGTTTACACTGGCTGGGGGCAAGGGGGATGCACTATTCACTGGCAAGTGGTGTGCTGGGCTGGTTAGTGGGGCTCTGGGTTGGCTAATGGGCTCTTGGTTGGCTGGTGGGTGCTATGTTGGCTGATGTTAAGCTACCTTGGCTGGTAGGATGCTATATTGGCTAGTGGGGTGCTATGCTGGCTATTGAGGGGCTTTGCTGACTAGTGGCAGACTACAGTGGCAAGCAGGGTACTCCGCTGACTAGTGGGGTGCTTTGTTGGCAAGTGGGGTGCTACACTTGCTAGTGAGCCACCTTGTTGGCTAGTGGGGCTCTCCATTGGCTACTGGGGCCCTTCATTGGCTAGTGGGGCACTATGCTGGCTAGTGCTATGCTTTACTGACTGGTGGAGCCCTTTGTTGGCTAGT